CATGCGTAAACGTCATGTAAGGTGGCATGTATTCTTTACTTGTCCCGTTGTTTGCGTATATCCTGAAACGAAATGTGTATGGTTTCCTTCTCCCTGAGTGTTATTCCAGTAAAATTTATAGCAAACTTAACGTCGTCTTTAACATCATATCTTTACCTTTTGTCATTCCTGACCAATCCCAATATCTATGACTATGCCAACCTGCTTGAGATGTACTTAAATCTATGTAATGACTGTGTGCAGGTAAATTTTCACCTGAAATCGTTTTACTTCCACCTGTTTCCTTTGAAGAGTTTGCACAATACAAAAACCTGTCGACTATTTTTGTTCCCATGCACCAACACCAAACATTACTTGAGGACCTCTTGCATCCATAGATGTATAATAGAACCTACTGGGTTCATTAAATCAAACATATGAGATATTATAGGATTGTCTCTTTTGAACTTAAAATATAGTGCAACTATTTCAGGTTTCTTCTGGTTTGTGTCAGAATATTTTTATAATATAATCTTATGTTTCAGGGTAGGTAAAATCTTGACTATAATATTTATTTCTGTCATCTGTATAATAATAAATACTATTCTCGTTTTTTCTATTGCATTATATCTTTTAGATCTATAATAATCTAAATATAATGTTAGCTTTTGTTCATCTACATGTGGTGTTCTGTCGTCATCTCCATAGTCATAATAATGTGGTGCCGGAGCTGGGTCAGGTAATATCATATCCACCATTTCATAAACTCTTAAATATTTCTTTTGTTCGTCCATATAAGTTTAAGTAGCAGTTGTTGTCTAATGGAACTTTAACTTGTGTACCCATTCTTTTTATAGCTTACATACATTTCATTGTTATTTTTCGGAATGAGTTTATGCCGTGTACCATTTTTTAAGGACTGTACCAACTGCCATCTAAAATATTTATTTTCTTCATTGACAGAAAAGTCACCAACAATAGTTTCAATATTTTTTGTTCCTATCAAACTTTGGTATATTTCATTGACATATGTTTTATCTGCTTTATTTTCAAGGCTAACGTTTAAGTCTGTTATTTCAGAAGATGTATGTGTATGTCCAACGGCACTTTCCTGTTTAAGGTTTCTTGTAAGTTTGTAATATTGCAATGGTATGTGTATGTCCAACGGCACTTTTCCTGTTTAAGGTTTTCTTGTAAGTTTGTAATATCAGATATAGAATGTGTATGTCCAACGGCACTTTTCCTGTTTAAGGTTTCTTGTAAGTTGTAATATCAGATATAGAATGTGTATGAGTCTTATCTGCTTTTGTCTCTAATGTTTCCTCAAGACTTGGTATTTGGTTAATATAATGTATATGAGTCTTTTTAGAATATTCGTTTTCAGCTCTTGTCACTTCACTTGACATTTTATTGTCAACATATGTTTTGTCTGCTAGTTCAGGATGAGTATGTTCTTTGTTGCATAAGCATTGTTAGCTCTTTCTTCTTCTTTTGCTATTACATCGTCTACATATTCTTTGTCAGCTTTGTTGTCAACATCTGCTTTCAAAAGAAGTTCATTTATAGGTTTCTCGTTTAAAGTTCCTTTTGTTGGATTTATACAGACAGTATTGTTCTTATTGTCTTGAAATAGAAACTCATCTGTTATAGGGTTTAATGTCAGTTTTAAGTCACCCCTTTCAATGACTCAGATATCTTAGAATAGTTTTGAAAAGTTTGTTGTGTTCTTATTTAGAGCTTGCATAATGAGTTGTCGGTTGTGTTTGTATTTCTCTCATAGACGCTGTTTCATTTGACATTTTTATTATATATAAATATGCTTCCAATAGAAAAAAGAAAATTCTAGAGTTGCTACAACTAAACCATTAGATGAACTTTTTACTAATGTCGGTCAAAAGTTTGAGACAGATACCGTAAAGCATGAAGGCTATCGTTTTGACTACCCATTAAGATGGTTAAGAGACCCATCCGTCACAAAAGCTATTGGCTTTCGTAGAATGAAGTTCATTTCAGAAGCCATACATGGTTTCCCATTTACGGTCGGTTTTGAAGTTCGATACTATAACAAAGAAAAAACGTATGTATGAGAAATTTGAACAAGGAAAAACTTTTACAAGTTAATTTGCTTATAAACTTAGAAACAACTCTTCAAGCTTTTCAAGAAAAAATAAACGATATCTATATTGAATATGCAAACCAGTTTAACATTGACGAAGGAGAATACCATCTCGATATTATTTATGACAGGAAAAATGCAACTGTTAAAATCAATAAAATAGAAGACCTTGGAGAAAACGTTTATATTTCTACAAAATATAACAACTTGGCATGGTATAGATTTATGAGGATGTTAATCAGCCTGCAGCATATCCAGTACACCCGGACTATTATGAAGTCGAAAAAACTAATGGAACATATGAAAATATTTTCGACCCAGATGCTATTATTGTTCATGCTTCATTTTCTGGTGCGCAAAACTCTTTCTTATGTCTGATGAATGACTTTTACGAAAAACCTACAAAGTTATACGAACCACCAAGTGGAAGTATTTCAGACTTTCAAGTATGGTTTACTACAGATGGAAGAAAAAGAATAATTCCATTATACCATGCGTTTTACTTAGAACTTAGTTTCATATACAACTACTATCGAACGATAAAAATATAACTTTTTAATATACCGGTTGTGGTTGCCAACTTGACTGTGGTGCAGGTTCAGGCTGTTGTATTACAGGAGCTTGTTCTTCTGGTTCAGGGTCTTTAGGTATAATACCAACAAACTGACCTACTCTTTTACCAATATTTTTGACACCGTTCCATACTCCTCTTCCGACAGATTTTATTCCATTCCATATACCTCTTCCAACATTTCGAAAGAAGTTTCCTATCTTACTGAAGAAACCCATTTTACTATATGTAAAAATCTAATGTCCGCCAAGTCTTTTACGTTTCCTGTTGAGTTCCATAGCATTCTTTAACTGGAGCTCATACATTCTGTTTCTCCTCTGGTAGAAAACATATTCTGGGTCAACTCCTGTGTTCGCGTCATCTGCATAAAGTTGTTTATATCCCACTTCAGGGTTTGTATAAAACTCTTTCCATCTCATATTTGCATACCATGGTGGCAAACCTAACGCAGCGTCATTTGACATGGCAGTTTGCATTTGTACATCTGTTGGCACTTGACCATAGTTTGCCATTGCAGTTTGTATTCTAACTTCATTTGGAATATTCTCTGGGTTTGGTTGTCCAGGTTGCTGTGCATTCGCTAAGTTCTGTGCGTCCATTTAATATTAGATAAAAATATCTCTTACGAGTACATATGCTGAACATTTGCAGGCATTGGTTCATCTTCATATTCTCTGTACTTTTTCTGCCACGTCAAATAAATAAATGACACAATGGAAAAAACCTAAAACAAGTAGTCCTATTTCAAACCACATTTACTTACTAATAAAATTTCTTTATTGTGACACTTTCTCCAGTTTATAGGACCTCTCTCATATTCTATCTTGTCATATATAAACTCATAGTCATGTATGTCCTCTAACCATCTCATAACGGTTTCCAAACCACTTTTATCGGATGTAAAGTAAAAGCATGGATGGTTATGTATAACGTCTAAAGTTTCTAAAGAGTCTCTCAAAGTCCAGTCTACTTGGTATTGAAAATCCCATGTGTTATAGAACGGCGGGTCCACTATAAAGAAAACATTTTCCTTGTCTTTATATTTTTCATACAACTCTGTCCAATGACATCTCACAAACTCTATACCCTCAATATATTTTTCTATGTCCTCTTTGAAAACATTTGTATAGTTAAGATATAAAACTTTTGACATAAGTGTTTCAATGTCATGAACTCTTATAGCACCACTATATAATAGTCTAGCAGATATACTATCCCAGTCTAATATTCTGCTTTTTTCAAAACCTCTCTCACAATATTTTTCTTATCTAATGGTATACGTTCCATCTTACCTATAGGTATCTTTTCTTTTAACTCTTTCAATATATTGTTTGTGTCTGGAATATGTTTGAGACGGTCCATATAGTTGTCGAAGTCATTGCATATAATCTTTGAGTCTGGGAATATTGTATGACATAAATGGGATATATAGAAACTTCCACCGAACAAATCTACAAATGTTAGACCATTCGGTAGTTTCTTAAGTCTCTCAATATAATATCTTTACATCTACTCTTATTTCCAAAGAACGGTAACGGCGGTTTTGTAAAATTCATTTATATATAATAATAAAAATGTTTTTACCCGAAAAGTGACAGAAAAGTGACATTTAAAAAGTGACACCATTAATATGATGTAAATAACAACGGTTTTGGTTTTGTCACCGGCTGGTCGGCTGGGGTTCGGTCCTCCTCTTGGGTCTTGGGCAAAATTTCTTATGGGCTAGAGGGCGCAACGCGCCTGGAAGCCCCACCTACCTGACCTTATGCACTCATCAAAATTGCTGGAGGGAGGATTTGAATTAAATCTGACAGCTGACCTTTTTCATAAATTCGGAATCACTTAATTTGACTTTTATGGATGAATCAATCATTTTATCCATATTAAAAATTGAATTAACTGCGGTTAGCCTTTAATTCAAATTATTGAAATCAGACTTTTGGGCTTAGGAAAAGAAAATTATAATAATAAGATATCGTACATTTTAAATTGTAACTTTTGTGTCTTTCTGATAACGAAAAATCACATCACGACGATAAAAAAACTTTCTTGTCAAACTGACGCTCTATCATCAATATATAGCTTTAGAAAGCAATCAGATCAGCCAAAAACATAACAAATACATTTAATAGAAGTACATGCACTATAGTATTACTCTTTTCCAGCATCATTTATTGAATTTTGTATAAATATCTCACATTTTTATATCTTTTTTAAAAATCAAACAAAATCAGTATGAAAGTTTTCTTTATATATACTATATAGTTCATTTAATAAGTTCCGAAACCCAGTATGATAACTGGAATAAGAACATAAAAAATAAAAACTAAATTCTTAAGAAATAATATCCATAAGAACAGAAATAGTATCTTTTTGTGAGGGCAGAAGCGATTTAACAATCGATAAGCCGAGAGAAGTAAAGCTCGAAAATAATGAACCAGGTCCAGCGTGTTTGAGAGTTTTACGCATGATTTCTTCAGCAGAATGGTTCGTGTATAAATATAATGATAGAGGATAAACAGTCGATGCTGTAATGAGATTACAAGTGAATGTTCTAACAAGACTAACGCCAAGAGACTGATGAAACTCTAAGTTTTTCGGGTTAATTAAGATTTTAGAAAGCGCATTCAATGATTTTTGGCAAGTCTTGTAAGAAATTTCTACTTTTAATTCAGATTTGAGTCCTCTAAGCATGGAAGGATATTTCTTTGGGTTTGTGTAATACTGAAGGAAATACAAGTCCTTAGGACCTTTCTTTTCTTGTGATTCGTAATCGTGAGTCATGTTTCCAAATGCGACTTTTGTAGAAGCACGCAAAAATCCTATTGCTGCTCCTTGAGCTGCAGAAGAAATAATAATTTTTGCGATTTGTTCTCTTGTAATTGGTTTTTTATGAGACATTGTATATGATTCTTTCACTTGATTGAGTGCCGGCTCAAGTAAACTGCTGTATAACTCTGATGTATATGGTTCATCAGTTAGAAAAGTATAGTCAAGTTGAACATCTTTATTCATTTTTATTTTCAAAAAAAGTGAAAGATTTTGAAAATCTTCTTTACTTGGCAAAAAACGAATTTGACATATCACCATAAACTTGACTTTATCCAAAGACAATTGCCTTACACAAGACAATTATAACATGAAGGTTCATTTTACTAATTAACGCAGATTTTGACATCGATTATTGAAATTAAAATTAAAGTTGATCTTAAGAAACTTGTTAAACAACTAATCCATTCTATGTATTAGTTTATACTTTATATATAGATTCTGAGTATTTGTTGTGCTTTAAAAACAATAAGTCGATATTCAACAACAAAACAAAAAATATTTTTTTATTTATAAAAAAACAAAATATAAATTTTAAGCATCCTGTATCTCTGCTTCACCACTGGAATATCCTCCAACAAACGAATCACAAGAATAGTAAACTTTGACTTCGTTTGGATTGAATTCCAAATCTTGGAACGAAACAATTTCTTCGAAATTCTCTGTTTTCTCTTTCAAAATCACGAACTTTGATGCAACAACTGTTTGATCAGTTACTTTCGCCAAAATAATCCACAAACAGATCCTCTTTTGGAAAGGAATTCTCGGGAATTCAGACATCTCAAACTGATCGAGAAGAGTAACTTTTACAACTTTACTTTGTCTGAAGAAAACAGTTGAAACATAAGGGATATTGTTATAAAACTTTTCAACATCAGACCAGTAATTTTCTGCTTCATTTTGATTCACTTTTTCATATTTAATCATATTTGCCATGAAAATTTCTTTTCTCAACTTCAAATTTGCATCAAATTGTTCATCATCAATTTCCTGACCACTTGGACTGTAAGAAGGATTAAATGTGTTCAAATCTCTGATGTTTCTAACAGAGAAATCATCCAAAACCGTTTTTGTGAAGTGAGGGAATTGTAACAATTCATAATCTCTACTTTCAATTGCATTTACCAAAAACGCGATGTTATTAATGAAATAAATGGAATAATGGACTTTGTTTCTCCTTAGAGAATAGAATTCTATCGCTGTTTGAAGTGTCTTTAAAATAGACATCAAAATCAAGTAACTTTTCGCAGGGAACATTCTTAAATCTAATTGTCTGTGGAGATGATTTGCAACAATAGAAATTGATTCGTTCTCTGCAACTTTGGAATCTTGCAATCCGATATATTTCGTGAAATTGATGTTTTCATATATTTCTGGTATAGATGAAATAAATGATATCGGATGTTCCGAATTTTCTGTGAAAGAAAACTTCGAAAGTGAAACAATTGTTGAGGGTCTGACACCATGTCTACCACAAATAATTCCATAATATTCCATTAACAAATTCTCGTTCTCGTCGAAGTGGAAACAATCAGGAATTTCATAGTTAATAAAATTGTCAGAATTTGTTGCATTTTGAATGATAAAGAAAAGTGATATTCTTAAAACGTCCAAAATTGACAATTTTGTAAATGACCTCACAAGACGATACAAAAGTGACTGTGGTCCGTTATTATATTCAAACTGAGGTTCATTTTTATCTGAATATAAAATAGAAACTGTTTTGTGATTAATTGTTATCAAATTTTCATCAGTTTTCTCTTCTCCTGACAAATAATCGGACAAACCGTTTTTGACATATTGAATAAATTGGCTGTCAAAAACAGGATCATCATAAAACTTTGAAAATTGCGGTTTTTGTAAACCAAAGAAAGTATTTTGAGAAATTTCGAAAATTTTTGGATTCGTTTCTTTGGCAATTTCCAAAAGACGATAAGAAGACGATAGACAATAATTTAAAAGTGACACATTTGTAAACCTTTCAAAATCAACAAATGACTGTACAGGCATTCCATTTTTGAGTAAAATGAAGTACATTTGGAACTTATTTTCCTGTGTGTAAATGAAGTATTCTCCGTCGCATTTTGTTTTAGAAATCATCTCCAAAATGTCGTAAAACTCGTATTCTCTCTGCGAATTCCTCAAATCCAAGTAATCAGTGCCTTTAACAATGACTAAATCTGATTTAACATGGAGAGAATTAACTGCATCAACAGAACAAATCAAAATCTTGATCTTCCCTAACATGAAATTATCAATAACAGCTTTTTTGCTATCGTCAGAAATTGTATTTGAAAAGTACGTTATTCCATATCTTTTTGACAATTCTCTGTAATCTTCTCTGAAAATTGGCGGCAAATTTTCATCATCATCCAGTTTGAAGCCGATCTCCTCAGTGAAATGCTTCTTCAGTAAGTTCGTGTAATTAACAAACGTTTCCTTGATTTCGGCATCATTTGAAACAAAAACGATAGATTGTTTATCGTTCTGTAGAAAAGTGGCAACTTTTGAAAAAGTTGGTCTCATCATTGAAACTTTTCTTGCTCTGAATGACGAGAAACTAACAGGTATTAATTCCATTTGACAGAAATTGTCAGGAATATCAACAAAAATTTTGTCACTTTCAATAAATTTTGCCAACATTTGTAAATAGAAATCATCAGATTCATAAGTTTGTGCAATTATTTTCGTTTGTTCTCTAGAGTAAACAATTTTGATTTGGGATATGATTTCTTCGTATTTGGAGTATTCTTTCGAAGAAATCAAATGTAAATCATACAAAAATACAAAATCAAAAATTTCTGACATGTAAAATCTGTCAAAATTAGACAACATATCCAAAGAACAAATTATTGATTTTCCTTGTTCCAAAGCGTATTTGTCGTTGACTTCATCACCTGTTAATCCAAAAACAGTCTGATTGTCAACGAAAAACTTACAAAGATAAGTAAATTTTTCAATATTAGGAACAATGATTAAACATTTCGCTGAACAACAAACTGACTTTAAAACAGTTGTAAATTGGTCAGACAAACTAACAGAATATGGTTGACAAACATATAAAAGATTTTCTGACAAAAATTCTGTCAAATAATGTGTCAAACCGTCATTTGTTTTTGACATCACTTTTTGAGCGTTGTGGCAGTTTTCTGTCAGTTTTTTATCCTGATACAATCTTATAGGAATTGCAACTTCTGTTTGCGCATTCAAGAATTTATCTGAAACAATTTTGACAAAATAAAATGGCTCCATTTTTTCGTAATTTGTCAAAATTTCTAATTCAGTAGTATGATAATCATTAGTCACTTCACTTTGCATTGTAAACTGTTCAGAATAAATAATTTGGTCACCTGTTCCGTTTACCAAGAAAATCCAGAAGTTTTCGAAGTCATAATGATAATCGTAATCGAATATGTAAAATGACCTCACTTTTACGGAAATTCTCAATAAATCCTTAGAGATAATTTTCGGTGTACAAGTTACTTTGAGCTGCGGCAACCTAAGGAAATCATTTTTGATCGTCTGACCAATTTCTACTTTGTCAGTTTTGCAAAGATTACAAAATTCTTTGTCACTTTTTTCTTTAAGAGCTTCTCTTTCAACTTCGAAATATTTATGCCAATTATCGAAGTGGTCAATTGCGTTTAAGTAGTTCTCTGGGATATTTCCGAACTGCCACAAAGGATTCTGCACTTCCCACATTCTTTTATTGACCATCTTCGCGTAACTTAGACATAAAAGTGCTGGTTCAGACAAACCTTTTGAAATTGAAAGTTCAAACAAGCATCTGAACAATCTTTCAGCGGATTGTGATATGTAAACCAAATCAGCCATCATCTCAAAGCTTTCGCTTTTTATCCTTGAGATGTATGACTGCAACAAAACGTTGATTTTCGTTTTTGGATCATCTGGTTGACCTTTTATTGGAATTGGAACCATTTCTTGGAATTTTTTGACAGTGGAAACTTCTTGTGGTCTGACAACAACGTTCTTGAATTCACTAGCCAAACTGAACAGTCTCAAAAGATCAACGTCATTTATGTCTGTTGACAAATTTGTGACAAAATTTGACATTGTTTCTTCAGTGATATAATAATTAGCAGCAATTCGTCCGATATCTGTCGATTCTATCGTGTCTTCGTTTGTATTATAGAAGATCAACTTCTTCTCTGATAATAACAAACACGAAGAATGAATTAAATCTGCCAATCTTTGTTCAATTTTGACATTTTTTGACAAACCGTACATTTTTGGAGATTTCTGCATTCTTATGTAAAGAAATGTCTCCTTCAGCCAGTCAACACCTTGAGCAACTGTTCCGATGGTTCCTAATGCAATTTCGGCGTTTAAATGGTTCGTAATTTCCCTCAAAAAGTGACTTTCAATTGGAATTTGAGAAGTTAAGGCCGAAACATAGTAATGGAGGTTCTGGTGTTCAGTTAGCAAGTAGGCTTCACCGTAGATGTCTAAACCGGGTCTGCCTGCACGACCAAACATCTGTAAAACATCGAGATGACTCAAATTGTCAAAATCACCAAGTTCCGGGTTATAAATATTAGTTCCTTTGATGATGGCAATATGTGCTGGAAGGTTGACACCCCATGCAAGGGTTGCGGTTGAAACTAAAACCTTAATTCTCTTATTTCGGAATTCTTCTTCAATTCTGGAACGATCTTCGCGAAGTAAGCCTGCATGGTGGAATGCAAAGCCTTTGGGAAGGATACTCTTCAGTTTCTCGTTGATTATTCCTTCAGAAATATTTAATAAATAATTTTGGTCGTTTGAGAAGTTATCGGCTTCTCCTTTCGATATGGCCATATTGTAGAAGGCTAAGGCTGTGTCCTGGGCTTCTCTTCTTGAATGTACGAAAATTAAAGTTTGATGCTTGTTTTTAAGGGTTTCTTCGATGATCTGGTAGCAGTATTCGTTCATACTGGCCTTTAAATGGACTTTCTTTCGCTCTTTGAAGCCAACGAAGGTCTTATGTAACAGACATGGTCGAAATTCTTCTCCAAAAACAAATAATCCTTGTTCAGGAACTTCTAAAAATTCTGCAATGTCTCCAACGTTTGGCATGGTCGCAGAAAGGCCAATTAGTCTGATATCTGATGAAGAAACGTATTTCAGCATTTTTAGCCTTGCAACTAAGGCTTCTAGTACCGGACCTCTTGAGTTATGCAAAAGATGGATTTCATCGATGATTACAAGCTTGATTGTGTCAATGAAAGTTTGATTTCCTGTTTTTCTCGAAATAATGTCGAGTTTTTCAGGAGTTGACACTATAATATCGTATCCTTGTAATTGTGAAACAGATGCCGAGCTATCTCCGGTCAATTCTATGACTTTTTTGTATCCATCAAAAATTTCTGTAAATTTTGCGACCATTTCTTGTACCAATGACTTCATTGGAGCTATGTAAATTGCTTTTGAGTTGTTTTCTGTCAATAATGTCTTGATCATCGCCAAAACTGCAATAATTGTTTTACCAGCACCAGTTGGAGCCGAAATCAGTAAGTTTTCGTTGCTTTCTTCTATTTGCTGGTATACTTTTGACTGTATGAGGTTTAAAGAACCTTGAGATGTAATTTCTCGACCAATAATCGTTTGGTATTTCTCATCCAGCGAATCAACTGACAATCTTATGCCTGTAGCATGATTTTTAGGTGGTGGAATGAAGATTTTTTCGTATTTTTCGGTAGATTCGGAAGTAGAAGTTTCTGGAAGTTGAAAACCGTAAATTCTTGTATTCTCTCGTTTGTTTGAGTATACTGATAAATCAATTTTACTGTATTTTTCGACTTTTTGTGGGTTTTCGATGATTAAATGTTTTGAACGAGAAATTGCTTTTACTTCTGATTCACGAGGGCCAATTATGCAAACCAATTGCATTTCCAAGTTAATTCCATCGCAATTTTTAAGCGCAGAGATGATTTCGGCCTTTTTTTGTTCAGCTTCGACTCCAAAGTTTTCTTCGCAGAATTTTTGTAATTCCGAAATTGTCCAACCACCGCTTTTGTCCTCTTCTGGGACATTTATTGGTAATTCTTGTTCTTCATCGGAAGATTCAGTTTCATCTGATGAATTTAAGGGAGTATTATCATCAGCAGTGATTGAGACAATACCATCATCATTTTCAGCATCTTGCATTTCTTGAACTTTAACAGAAGGTTGAAAATCAATTAATTGACTTGCTCTGTCATTTAAGCGTCTAATTTCAGCAAAACTCGGTCTGAATCCAAGAGTACTTTCGACTTTTTGTGCAACTACTTCATCAGATTTATTGGCATCACGTAATACAACAATTAAATCGTAAGCTGTTTGATGAAGCGTTTCATCTGTAACAGGACCAAGTAATTGTGATAAGTCAGCTGTTAAATCATTATAAGCGCCTCTTGTTTCAGATGTTTTCGGAATATAAATTTGGCCACGAAGAATTGCGTCTCTTTTTGCTTGTCTAATACTTTCTTTGAGTTCCTTCTTGTATGATTTTTCCATTTTTTCGTGCTCTGAGTGAGTTTTAGTTCGAATTGCAGAACCAAAATCAGATTTTTTGATTTCTACTCTTTGTACCATTCCAACACCAACACCATCTTCTTCTTTAGGAAGATCTGTGGGGTTTGAGACCACATATATATGACCTCGGTTCTGAACATAATCTGGAATCATCAAATTTTAAAAATTAAAAATCCTAAATGTCAAAAAAAAACTTTAAAAAGTTTTTTTGGTTTATAAATTATGTTATTAGAAAAAAATCTGTTAGAAAAAATTGAATTAGCTACTGTCACTTTTTGTTTGTTATAATTCTACATTTATTAAATGCAAAAACAAGAGGAAGAGAAGCAAATTGCCGAATCATTCGAGGCAGAGCTTGCTTCTATCAAAGAGAAAGGAAAGGATTTGAAAGGCACAGAGCGTGATTTTTACACTTCAATCGTTCAACGCCTTGAAAATAATGATCAAGTCCTTCAAGACCTTCGTAAAGAGCACACACAGCTTCGTGAAGAGCTTTCTCGTCTTACTAAAGAGAAACGTCAGCGTACTCGCGATCCAGATTTAGCACAAGATATCAAGAGAACAACGCATTCAGTTAACTTGCTGAAGAAGCAGATCGATAAGTTCAAACATCAAAAGCAACAAGCAATTAACCGTCAAACAGAACTTCAAGTTCAATATCAAAACTTAACTGGTGGAGAAGGCCCAAAGGACACTACTTCAGAGCGTCTCGTTTCTCTTAAGAATAAGCTTGATAACGCTGAAATTAAGAATCAAGAGACTCTTCACCTCATGAAAGTTTATGATGCGATTGTCTATCAATTACAACGTCAGAAGATGCGCTGGAACAGTATCATCGAAGCCGAGAAAAAGGAAATCGAGCAGAAAAAGAGAGATCTTGCAGATCTCGAGCTAATTGCAAGAGATTCAGTTCATTCAAAGAACGCCGCCGAAATGGAGTACTCTCGTTTACAAGCTAAATACGCTGCTAAACGCGAAAAGCGAAACCAGCAAATCCAGGCTAAAACAGCCCAAGTTCAGCAACATATGCACGTTCCTATCTCAGAAGACAGCGGAAACGACAGCCGACCAAAAGGCAACCAGTCACTCAACTCTCAGCCATCTGCAGTTAGAAATCGCAACAACAGAGCTCAAAGAGAAAAGAAAGACGAAAAATTCAGAGCAGTTAGCTCCAAATACGACCAAGTCCGCGAATACTTTGGTACAAATGATCCAGATGAGATCAAGAAGTTCTTCGACGATAGAAAACAAAACGCAGAAACCCTTAAAAAACAAATTGAAGATCTCAAAGCCGCAAACGCCGAATTGGAGAAACAAGTAGCACAAAGGAAGTCAGCAATTGACGAAGCAGAGTACTCTTCTCATAAAGGAGTTGGCGCAAACAGATTATTGAACGAAGCCAAGAAGATGCTGCTCAAATCCAAGGAAGACCTGGCTGAAAGTGAAAAGGAAATGTTCTCTCAACAGAATTTCAAGGAAAATGTAGAGAGCGGCATTTATCATTTGGCAGATGAGATGCAACTTGTTCAGAAAGAGCCACTGAAGGTCAACAACACAGGAGAACGCCTTGATTGGATTATCCAAACAATTACAAAGATCAAAGGATCACTTGAAGACGAAGATTTCGTTTTCATGACAATTTGCAATGCACAAGTCGTTGCTCAGAAGATACAGGCTGAGAATAACCTCGATATCAGAGAAACTGAGAGCTCTAAGAGGCAGCCAAAGGCAAGACCAGGTGAAATGTTACGTGGAAGACAACAAAAGGCTGATAAAGGTGAATTCGTTAGCCGTGTTATGGACAGAAATGCAATTAAGGCATTGGCGCAGAGAACTGCTCAAGCTAAAGCAGAAGCTGCAGCTAAAGCTCGCAAACAATAATTTTATTTCTTATAGATTTGATATTTTATAACTGATTTATAAATAATCTGTTTTTATTGTAACAATATTTAACTTATTTTTATTACTGGTTCTAAATCGATAATTTTAGCAAAATAACTTGACAAGATTAAGATTCCTTCCTATGCTTGTATCATGAAGTACATTCTATCCTAACTTTTCCTTTATCCAAAGTCCTTCTTCACTGTATAAAAATTTTAGATTAGATATTTAACCAAAGAAATTTCCATCTTAATGGAATTTTGCCAGAAATTGTGAGATTTCAAATATGCTTCGAATGAATCCTTTGACATAAAAAAAAATCTTGCGATATTTAAATATATAGGATTAGAGAACGAGATTCATAAGACATTGGTTATTAAAAGTCATATAAATGTGTAATTCCAAGTTCTGATAAGTAAATTTTCCATTCATTGCGTTGGAAAATGATGAAGCAATTTTTCCAAAAAAAAAAATGACTGAAGCTGCACAAAAGTTTTTTGAGTTATGCCAAACAGTTACTGAAGATACAAAGGAGGAAGCTATTAAGCAACTACCAAATTTTAATTTCTTACAATTTACTCTCAGCGAAATTGATAAACTTGAATCAGTTGACTGGATTCCACTTCCTGAATTAGCATCCATTTATAGTTCATGGATTGATCAACATGACAGAGTTTTGAACTCAATTGTCTCATATTTATTATTTAATACAGAAACTACACGCGATTTGTCAGTAAATTTTGCAGAAAGTATAATGGATCCATCTAAGATTGTTCTCCATCCTGTGGAAAATATCATTTACAAGATTGCTACTGCAAATGGAAAAAGAGAATACTTAAATCTCCTAGAAGCAGGTATTTTCACAGCAAGTTCATCGGAAGCTTTGAATCAGAAGGGTGTAGATGCTCTGTTCAAAAACATTAAAGACGCATTTTTCAACTCTAAACCATTAGATAATTCATACGTTCAAATTTCATTCCCTCCATTCATGCAAGTGCAAGTACTTGAGTACACTATTGGTACAGGTAGAAATATGTTCCCTCAAACATGGATTTTAGAAGGATCTAACGATAAAATTTCATGGGAACCAATTGACAACAAATTACATGAGAAATCTGTCTCTCATGAGTTTACAAAATACACATTTCAAGCTACAGCCGGAAATACGAAGTTTTACTCTCATTTTAAATTTACACTCAAAGGAGACAACTCTAATAACAACAAACAGTTAGTTTTATCTGCTTTGGACTTCACTGGCTATGTCAACCTTGTTAAGAAATAAAAAAATATTATTATTTATTTTTATTATTCATTTTTATCGTAATTCTTCTTTTTATTATTGGGTCATTAATATTTTAAAAATATTCCAAGAATCTATTTACAATTTAACTATTAAAGAGAATATTTTCAAGATAATTCAACATAATGAAATGATATTGCTTTGGTTTCTCCTATATTATTGATATATGCATAATTTTGAGAGATATACAATTGTTGAAAACATAATTTCTAAGATTTTTTTAATAGGATATAAAAATGTAAATGTTTAATCCCAATGAAACACATGTATATCAGTCGCATATAATACATTTATTTAATTTTCTACTAGAATTTCTTTATTACTGAGAAATTTTCACATAATTTGAATAATATTAAAAAATAACAATATTTTACTAATATAAATACATAAATAAATATATATACAAAAGATTACTCATCTTCATCCAAGTTGAATGGAATTGGTGTTCTTTTCTGAGTTGGATCCAAAAGAGCTCTCTGAGGAACAACAGACATTGGAGATGCATTTGCACTTGCTGTGACAAGAGACATTCTTGGTGTATTGATAATTCTCGAAAGAAGTGGAGACTTGAAAGGCATCAAAGGTGTTTGTTGTGGTGAAGGTGACAAGGATTCCTCTTCCTCCTGTTGTTGGATGAGTGGAGATCTCGATGCGATCAAGTCATGTTCGATTTCAGCAGCAAGGATTGGCTCTTTAGTCTTGAGCTCTTCAATAAGATCTGCGTTCTTTTCGCACAACTTTCTGAAGAATATTCTGAGTTCTGACTGCATTGGAGAGTTCTTTCTTCTCAACAATTTATTCATTTCGTTCAATGTTGGCAAAATCTTGTCAATTAATTGGTTGTGGAATATCTCCATGAACTTTCTGCTCTGTTCCATAACAGCAACACCTGCTGGGTCATCAATACTTGCTTCATTAACATTGATAGCTTCCATTTGATCTTCTATCTTGATCATGCAGAAAATAGTGTCAGAAAGAAGATTTTCACCATCTTCCAATTTAATTTGTTCGTCAATAAACTTCTGGAGGACTTTAGCTCCAAGGTTGTTAATGATATCAAACAACTGGTCATCTGGCATATGAGAAATCAAGTTGCAGAATGCCTTTCTCCTTGTTTTGGCATCGCTGATCTTGAAACTATTATGGAAATCTGGATTTTCGTTGATTGTTGATGGTTCAATCATATCATTGAAATAAAACAAAGAATCAATGAAATTCTGGACTAATAATTTCGGAATCTTCCTATGAAGAACATCGAAAAGACATGACTTAGCAAACTTGGAGACTTCTCTATTCGCATCAGTTAATGCAGAAATGAATCTAAAGAACATCAACGGTCTCATTTTAATGAATTCTTCTGTGATTAATCTCGTCAAAATTAGCAAAGATTGACGTCTAACAATTGGATATTTGTCAACGAAACATAATGTCATCTCTTGGACATAAGGATCTACAGTACTTGTGTATTTAACACATAAATCGCAGAGAACAATTAAACAATTGCATTTAACAGCAGGGGCATCAGAACTTCTTAATTGTTTGGCAAACGCTGCAACGAAAGAAGAAGAAATATCTCTTCTAACTAAACATAATTTTCCAAGTGTTATTGTTGCAATTGCACGAACTCTTGATGAAATAATTGTTTCGTTTGGAAGATGTTCTGAAATCAATAGTTGACATCCAGTAAAATCAAAATTCATTATTGATGGAACATCTTTCATTATTTCTCCCATCAAGAACAAACCTGTTGTGATTTGCTCAAGTTCATCTGTTCTTGTATTTGGATCTTCAGCAAATTTATTGATCCTTTCATTCAATTGCTGCAAAAGTGAAGTGAATTTTGCAGAAATATCTTCAGAAATATTTCTACAAATGTTAACTAAAGAGTGGATCCAGTTAAACACATCTTCTGGTTCTGTAATGGACTTATCATTAGCAGCAACACTGTTTAATAATTCCAAAGAGTCATTAAGAATAGTCTTCTCATTTGTCTTCGAAAGAGAAATCAATCTATAATATTCAACAGGTAAATTTTCTCTTTCTGACCACAAATCTTCTAATTTCTTTGTGTTGAAATGTTCAGGAGTTTCTGACATCAAATAACAAGCAATGTTCCATATATTTACATTGATATTTGAACTCAACAACTTCTGTACTCCTCTGCAGAACGGCTGCAAGTTTGTGCTGCACTGTTTGTAAACAGGAATCACGCGACTCATTAAATCCATGTGTATTGGATCTAAACTTTCTGTCATTGTTATTCCATCTTCTGTTCCAAGAATAGACAAATAGTTTTTATCAACTAAACTCAATGCTAGTAACTGTGTCTTGCTGTCTACATCCATACAAAGAGGCAACAATGAGTCAAACCATATGGAATAAGCACGAATTGTTTTCATTCCGTTTATACAAGTTGTCAAAATTTTTGCAGCTTCTTGTCTCAAAGATATTGAGTGATCTCTTGTTCTATCTGCAATTAACTTAATAACTGTATAAGGATCTCTTTGCATCAAAGGTAATATAGCTTTTATGCACCTTAATGATGCTTTTCTAACAACAAGTTTTTCATCAACAACTCTTCTTTCGAGTTTTTCTAACAATGTATCTGGTAAACCAATGGAAGTTTCAACTTCATCTCTGTTTGGCATGGAAGGAAGCATTCCTATTATAGAAGCAATTGTATCTAATGTTGTTGCTCTAACACCTGCAACTGAATCATTAACACCCATGAATAAAGTCCTTGTTAAAGAAACAATTGTTTCAGGAGACATTTTTTCAATTGTTTCTTGTGCTTCTAAGAATGTTCTCGTGATATCTAAGGCAAGAGTCCTGTAGGCAGACTTGGGGGAGCGAATCATAGCTGTAAGGAACTTGTACAATGGATCTTTGTCATGTAAATAACTGTAAAGAAAGTGGACACAGTAACAACAATTTTCTCGAATTGTTGCTCTTTCTGTTGAACGTAAAAGAAGATGTTTGATGACTAATAGAAGCATTGAAGGATGTGTTTCTAGTTTGTCTTTGGCATATGTAAGGAAAACATCACGAATCTTGGAAACTCGCTGTGTAACTTTTCGATTTGATGGTAAAAACTCTAAAAGTAAGGTATTGACAAGATAAGGAAGTATATATTCTAAGTAGTTGACAGATGCTGTTTCAAGGAAGTCTTTTGAAACAGGAATCATCATTCTTGAAAAATCATCAAATTCTTCGGTATATGCGCAGGATAATTTGAATGAAAGTTCTGTAAGAGCGATAAGACCATCAATTTGAGCACATTCAATAAACTGTGGGCAGATAGATTTCGTTAAAATTTTTAATAACGTAACGGAGAGTAATAATGTTTCTTTTTCCGAATCAGAAGCTGCTTTTCCTGCTTCTACAATTTGTGATGCATTCATCATAATCGTAAGTAAAGTGTTAAACAAAATTGGATTCCATAAATTTTGAATTGGAATCATCGTTAACATTTTTGCATATAAAACTGCTCCATTCTTACGAAGTTCGCCATCTTGGGTGATCATGGCTGCACAAAATACTTGAAAAATATTTGGAGAACGTCCTTCTTCAGTTAATTGGTCCCAAAACTCCTGCTCTTTGTTACTTTCAGTTAGTTTTTGCAGTAAATCGTATAATTTTGTGATAACTGATGGATCTTCCGTTGCACTATTTATTGAATTTTCCATGGCCGTGTCAGGTTCGCCTATTTCACCATGTGTAACAATGTCTATTGTTTCAGAAGAGTATTCGAACATCTTCAACTGTTCCATTACTGAGAAAATTTCCTCATTCATCTTCTGAAAGAATAATTGAACGTTTTAAAATTCGAAAAAAAAGTCTTTTATAAAAATTTTATATCAAAGGTAATGAATCATGCTATTTGATAAAATTACCCGATAATTCTTAACAAAATAATCTTGTAACAATTTTCAAAATCGAAAATTCAAGGCAAATCGGAACAAAATCTTTATAAAATGATTTAATACTTGAAGGTGAGTATACAAATTTATCTCTTAATCTTGTATTTTCATTTCAATTTTTTAAATGATTTTTTTGTTTCTCTACTCCATCATAAGTAAAACTGTATATTTACGTGGTGAATGGGGAAATACATATCCTGCCGAAGAGGCTGAGTCATTTTTTGAGTATCTACATCCAGAATTACTCGAAAAAGTGCGTCCAATCTTATGGAATAATATGAAAGCACCAAAAGAACACGTCTTTTCCAAATTGATTGGAATTGTCGATCCTAAAATATTGAATTTATTAGATTTTGCCCTTAAAACAAGATATTTCAATCCAAAAGCAATCTCTAAAATACCTGAAAAGCGAGAAAATATTACTTTAAACATGTGGGGTGCTGTTAAACGCGAATGGGGCCAGAATCTTGACCAAGATATGAATTTGAAATTAATTCAACTGACAATGGATGGTGGTGCATTCAAAGATAAAATGGATAAACTAAGAACAGTTGTACGCTCTTATTCTCAATATTCTAGCATTATTAGTCAGGTTGCTTTAAATTCTGATGCAGAAAAATACAAATTTTTACCATCCGGACAACAATTCGCCTCTGTTAATGGGCGAGTTGTCAAATTCGATGTAATAGAAATAGTAGGAGCCATTTTTCAAGAATATAAATTATCAAATACGATAAAAAAGCTCAATATAGAGAACACTAACTTCCTTTACCAACGTCCTGGTAGACATGTATACCATTGGTCGCCTTTATGTGAGCATGCGCCCGTTCTAGAGTATCATGAAATGTGGAGATCTCGTTCTATGTGGGCAAAGACTCTCACACCTAATAATAACTACATGGAATTCCTCAAATACAAGGACAACCTCGTTGAAACTCAGATATTTATGAGAGTTGGAAATCCAAATATTGCATACGTCATGGAAACGCTCAGGAACATGGCAAACAATCAGTTCCCAGGCAGATTCCATATATTCTTGTATGGAAACATGTCAGATCCAACTGAAAGGCTTTGGGTTTCGACTTATTGGAGAGTTTGTGATTCTTCAGGTCCAAGAATTGGTGCAACGTTTCTTTTTGAAGCCGTTACAATGGGATTCAAGAAAGCTTACAAGAGAACTACTTGCGAAACAAGTTGGCGCCAAGTCAAAAATTTATATAAGCAAGATTTCATTATGAAGCGAGCAGAGATGGTTTGGGATTACTGTAACAAACACAAGATGAATGGGTTCGCTTATAACATAAACGGAGAGTTCTTTTATGATGATGAGGCGTTTGAAAAATTTAATGATAGGATAATGGTCACTTCCAAGAGACTTATGCATGCAATGAAGCAAGGGTTGAAGACAGATGATCTTAATTTCAACGATTGGTACAGAACTGATGGATTATTCGTATCAGGTCGACCACCAATAGAAATTCGAGCTCAAAACAGATTGACTATCTCAGATAAAAATGCAGGAGTTGTAGAAACTGCTCTAACAGCCCTTTATAAGAATTTAGAAAACGGAAATGACGTTGAAAAAGCGAAATGTCCAGTTTTCTTGATCAATTATAAGAATCCGAACTTCACAGATAGTGCTTGTTCCCATGTGTATAAGGTTAACACTATAGATCGTCAAGCAAAGGAGTTTTTCGGAGATGTCAAAACAATTATTGGACCATTCGTATTCAAAGACGAGCTATCGTCCGAACAAATCGATTACGTAAGCAGCCGTGTTAATTATACTTATCACCACAGCCTTCCAGCTGTTAATATGCTTCAAAGACATTTTATTGAGATATTTAGAGCCGAAGAAGACTTCGCAAACAGAAAACGTGATGCTAAACCATCTGTTAATGAGAAATCCTTGATTAAAAGTCGCCAAGGCCAAGTAACTTTCACAATAATTGCAAATTTCGCATTAAGAACAATTTGGCCGATCTCTGAGCTCCTGCACATGCTCTCTGATGTTGAATTAGTTGGTGTAGACCTCTATCCATCAGTTATTGCTCAAGATCACGACTCAATCAAACAAATTTCAACAGGAACATATTTTCCAGCCTTTGCAACACCATATGCTGATGTTCCTGTCAATGATTTCGGAATTCTCAGGCCTTCCACGTGGGAACTCCGTCATCAAAAAGGAAATTTCACTGTTCCTGGAATAGTTATTACCGGATACATCGAAAACGTGTCAATAATCAAGATCAAAGACGAATACAGGAAGCCATTTGAGACAGGCTACTTCGCTGTTGTCTTACCACCAGGAATACATGAATGCCAAGGCTTCGAATATAAGAAGTTTTATGTAGATTCATTTATTCCTGAAGTTAAAATTTACAAACCAGGAAAAACAGTTGAAGACATTCCATCGAATAACAACACAGCCTTGTTCATGTTCATGTGGTATCCAGACTCTTATTGGAGAGCGCGTGTTTCTTTATACACTTTTCTTTCGAATTGTTCCACGCCAACCATATATTTCTTGGATCCTTTCGTTTCTCTTTACGCTCCAAAAGACTATGTTTCAATCATTTTACCAGTGTTTACTCCACATTTCGGTCCGAAACCATCATCAAATCTTTTGTTTGTAAAAGGCGGAAAGTACTATTATCCAGGCCTTTTGATGCATTCTTTCTACGACAAAATAATATTTGCAGATGAAGCATTAGTTTTCAGAGGAGATGGAACAAGAATCGCGAGAGTTGACTGGAAGAATGCTTCTGTTTGTGCTGTTGAATACCCTGACAAAAACAAAAACAGCAACATTAATTCGTGGTCACTCAAAACAATGAGAATTGGAAGGCCTTATCATACACCTGCTTTGTTGTGTTACTGTTTGTCAATGTACACGAAACAGAGAGGTCCTGAATACTACTTGGATCTGAGTAAAACAAAGGCAAGAGCAAGAACAACAATGGGATTTGGCGATGAAGAATACTTGAATTTGCTTCAATTGAAAGTTCAGTTTTTGACACTTCCAAGTTCTGTTGTTTACGACGCACAGTTCATGAAGAGGAAGCTGGCGAAGAACGCAATTGCTCACATAAGATCTTGTGATAATTCTGATAAATGGTTGGGAACAAAGATAAGAGTTCTTAACAAAGAAGTTGACAATTATTTCAATGAGTTGTAAAGTAAAAAAATATTGTATATAGTCTTTTTTTTGTTCAAATGTTTAAGACTATTTTTTTCTCAGAAAGATTGGATTGAATGTATCTGTTATGGTGTATTAAGTGAAAAACACTATATGGTTTTTGAAATTTCAAATCTTTGAGAATTTTCTGGCATAGATGACATCATAATAATTCACGATACCTATAAACACATTCTAGAATAATGGATAAATGGTCTTATAAAAAAACTTAAGTTTAGATTACGGATTGAGATAATGAAATATCAAATGTCTATTTAACTGATGTTTTCCACATAAGTTTGCCAGTTTCCGCTATTCAAAACGAAATTTATGGGAAGTCAATTTTTAATCTCAAATTTTCAATAAAACACAAAACTGGAAAATAACTATTCAAATAAATTATTCCAATATGAAAAATTGAAATTTGGCAAACACCGATATAATTTTGTGAGAATTTTAATTTTTTATTTCATTTTTGAAATTGCTCAAAATGGTAGTTATTGGGTTGAATAATCAAATACTTCAGAGAATTAATGATTACAATACATCAGATAAAGTAGTATTGTCAATAAATAATGTCGAAATAACAATCAACAAGTCTTTCGCAGTTGCATTTTCGAAAACTTTTTACTCACAGTACTTGTTAGACAATAGTACAGATAAAATCGATGCAAATACAGACATTGAATCACAAGATACATACAATATTTTGAAAGACATCCTTCAATACAGGAAAACAGAGTTCGAATGCAACGAAACAATTTTGAAAGATCTCTTTCACATCGGTCTCAAACTTGAGATGCAAGAACTTATTAATTTATACGAAACATACGTCATCGATAAAATGGAAATTAACAAAAACAATTGTTTTCAAATTCTTGAATTTTATATTGATATTTCAAAAGAAAACAAAATTTCAAAATGCATTGATTTCATCTCATCACATTTCTTTGAAATCAACTTAGAACAACTCAAGTTAATTTCCAATAAACTTGGAATTGACATTATTAAACGGATTACTAGTAATAATTTACTTGCAATTAAAGATGAGGATTCATTTGCCAAATTCATTCTTTCTCTAATTGAACAAAACGAAATATTCAATCCGTTGATCGAATATATTCGTCTTGAATTTTGCACTTTTAATATTATAGACAAAATATATAGTTTGGCAAATTCAAGTAATTGCATGAGTTTTCTCAAATATTTCCATGATTCATTGTTGAGATCCAATAATAAAAAGCAAATAAATCCGAGATGTTTTAATCCAGAAGATTTTCAATCGATGATAGCAAACTACAAAGATTCAGATGATTTCAGATGCATTTACCGATTCTTTGAACGACTTTCAGATAATGAATACAAAGATATTATTAGCAAAGCATGCCAATAAAGATTATAGGAAAAGAATAATAATTACTATGGCAGAAATATCCTCCACGAAGCATCTTATAAAGGAAATTTGAAATTAATACAATATCTTGTTTCATGTGGATGCAATATTGAAATGAAAGATAAAAATGGAAATACCCCATTGATTGTTACTTGTTCTTTTGGTCATCTTGAAGTTGTTAAATATTTTATATCAATTGGAGCAGATAAAAATGCTAAAAATAATTCAAATGAATATTCCTTGCTCATTTGTGCTTCATTAAATGGTCATCTTGAAGTTGTTAAATATCTCATATCTATCGGAGTTAATAAAGAGGAGCAGAATTCCCAACAATATACACCGCTTATTTGTGCTTCATCAAATGGTCATCTTGATGTTGTTAAATACCTCATCGGTATCGGAGCTAATTTAGCTGCAAAAACAAAAACCGGAAGTTCTTCACTCCATTTGGCAACAAATAATGGTCATATTGAAACAGTCAAATATTTAATTTCAATTGGAGCTGATAAAGAACAAAATGATAACGAAAATTGGACCCCATTATTTTTCGCTTCATCAAACGGTCATATTGATGTTGTCAAATATCTCATCTCGATTGGAGCTAATAAAGAAGTTAAGTCCAAAAGATTGAATACCCCTCTCCTTGTGGCATCTTATAATGGTCATATTGAAACAGTCCAATATCTAATATCGATTGGAGCTGATAAGGAAGAAAAGAATTTGATTGGAAATACACCAATTCAGTGTGCATCAAGTATTGATATCGATAAATATTTTCCATTCTTCGTACAAAATAATATTGAAAAAAATCTTGAAGTTATAAAATATCTCATTTCAATTGGAGCTGATAAAGAGGCAAAGAACAATGAAGGCTGTACAGCCCTTAGCATAGCTTCAAGTAAAGGTATTCTTAAAATTGTTAAATATCTTATCTCTATTAGAGCAGAAAAAGAAGTAACCGATAATAAAGGAAATACTCCCCTCATTTTAGCTTCAACTAATAATCAACTTGGAGTTGTTAAATATCTTATTTCTGTTGGTGCAAACAAAGAGGCAAAAAATAATGAAGGAAAAAATGCATTATCAAATGCTAATGGTGATGTAAGAGATTACTTATTAACAATTTAATATAGTAAATTTATAATTCATTTGAATAGTTCATTTTTTACATATTAAAGATAGCATCTTAATCACTTTTTAAGAATGCTATTATATACCTGGCCATCAGGAATGTATTCATATGAATAAGATCAAAAAATAAAATTTGCATTTAATCACATATATTAATATTGGCAATACACTTGATTTAAATAAAAGAAAAGCGTCATTGAAAAAAGAAACTCTATTTTTGCGTAATTTGGCATTTAGAATATGTTGTTTAGATATAATTTTTTTTTAATTCTCATTTAGGCTTTCTGAATATTCCAAATAAATTTCGTTTTATAAATTTCAAATCATTTATGATTATATGCTGGTATGTTGATTTTCCATGAATTTTCAAATTCAATTATTATCTTTTACAACTCTAGTAAATATCTTGTTTTAACTGATGTTGACTTCATGTTATAAATATAACATCATTAAACTTTCATTTCATGAATTTCAATTCTTTAAATTAAATAATTTGGCAAACAATTGTTAAATAATTATCAAATCTTTATCATCAAACTGTACAGTTGAAACAATGAAAAGTGAAGGACTTTACATAAAATGTCAATTTTTTTATTTTTTGAATAAAATTTTTTAATGGTAGTTATTGGGTTGAATAATCAAATACTTCAGAGAATTAATGATTACAATACATCAGATAAAGTAGTATTGTCAATAAATAATGTCGAAATAACAATCAACAAGTCTTTCGCAGTTGCATTTTCGAAAACTTTTTACTCACAGTACTTGTTAGACAATAGTACAGATAAAATCGATGCAAATACAGACATTGAATCACAAGATACATACAATATTTTGAAAGACATCCTTCAATACAGGAAAACAGAGTTCGAATGCAACGAAACAATTTTGAAAGATCTCTTTCACATCGGTCTCAAACTCGAGATGCAAGAACTTATTAATTTATACGAAACATATGTCATCGATAAAATGGAAATTGACAAAAACAATTGTTTTCAAATTCTTGAATTTTATTTTGATATTTCAAAAGAAAACAAGATTTCAGAATGTATTGATTTTATCTCATCACATTTCTTTGAAATCAACTTAGAACAACTCAAAACGATTTCCAACAAACTCGGAATTGACATTCTTAAAAGGATAGTCTTCAATGATTTGCTTGTAATGAAAGACGAGGATTCATTTGCTAGATGCATTCTTTTTCTCGCTGATGATAATGAAATCTTTTATACATTGATCGAAAGCATTCATTTTGAATTTTGCTGTGATGAAATTATCAATAAAATATATAGTTTGGCAAATTCAAGTAATTGCATGAGTTTCCTCAAATATTTTCATGATTCAATTATTCGATTCAAAAATGGGAAACAAATAAATCCAAGAGCTTTTAATCCAGAAGATTTTGAATCTATGATTGAAAAGTACAAAGATTCAAATGATTTTGAAAGCATTTACAAATTCTTTGAACGACTTTCTGAATACGAATACCAAGCCATTATTTATAAATCTTGCAAAGAAGGACTTTTTGAAATTTGTGATAATAACGATGAAAGAAATGTTCTTCATGAAGCATCTTTTAAAGGAAATTTGAAATTAATACAATATCTTGTTTCATGTGGATGCAATATTGAAATGAAAGATAAAAATGGAAATACTCCATTGATTATCGCTTGCTCTAGTGGTCATCTTGAAGTTGTTAAATATTTTATCTCAATTGGGGCTAATAAAGAAACTAAGACTAAAAGTGGGAATACTCCACTCATTATGGCATCATTTAAAGGTCATATTGAAATAGTCAAATATCTAATCTTGATGGGGGTTAATAAAGAATCAAAGAATAATTATGGAAATACGCCACTCTTGGTTGCATCATTTTATAAAGCCCCACCAGACATTTTACAAGACTATTACAAAAATTCATCTAATATTGAAAATCTCGAAGTTGTTATATATCTTTTGTCTGTTGGAGCTGATAAAGAAGCAAAAAATAAAGAAGGAAGTACCCCGCTTATAATTTCTTCATGTAAAGGTCATCTCGGAATTGTAAAATATCTGGTTCCTCTTGGAGCAAATAAAGAAGCAACAGATAACAAAGGAAATACTCCCCTCATTTTAGCTTCAACCAATAATCAACTTGAAATTGTTAAATATCTTATTTCTGTTGGGGCAAACAAAGACGCAAAAGATAATGATGGTTCTACTTCACTAATCATTGCTTCTATGAAAGGTCACCTTGAACTTGTTAAATATCTTATTTCTGTTGGTGCAGATCAAGAAGTGAAAAATAATGAAGGGAAAAATGCATTATCCTATGCAGAAGGTGATGTTAGGGATTTCTTATTAACAATTTGAAATTAACAATTTATAATATTTCAACTGCATTAACGGAATTTTTAAAATCTTATTGAAATTCGTTTAAATACATATCACAAACATATCAAAATTACATTAAAATTGTTTTTTCTTTCTTTAGTTTATCTGGAAAGAATTGAACAATACATTGAAAGATGATAAACATGTGATCACGAAACATCATATCATCACAAATGCAGAGGAAATATTTGTAAATTGTTCAAAACTTGCTATGAATCAACCTTTCTTGATCTAAATATATCCATAATTAAATTCCATTGGAATCAAAAGTTTGTGATGCACTCATGAGTGCAGTTTATCCATGATTAAACCTTTGTTTATTTATCATATCCGTAAAGGCTTATAACTAGATGAATATTGTGTATTGTTTTAAGAAACGAATTTGTTTAATCAATCCTTAATAGTGTGGGAAATGGAGGATGATTATTAAAAAATTATAAAATAAAAGTTATTATTTATAATCCAACAACTTTTCCGTTTGTTTCTTTAACAGACTCGGCAAGGAATGGATTTACCTTATTATATATTGAAGGTGAAAAACATAAAACATATACTTCCAAGCCAGATCTTTTGATGAGATCAATATTTTTGGTGATTGCTCCGCAAATAAGATCCATCGGATTTCCGAAAACTCCACCGCCAAGTAATGTCAAATAAAGTTTGTTTGATCCTTTCCTTCCTGGATATCTGATCGAATTATCCCAAGCTTGAAGGATTGTTGCCTTATACTCAGCTTCCAAAAGATATTCAGATATTTCTGTAGTGAATGGTGTCTTAACTACATTTCCATGAAAATTAAGTGCTGCTGCATAAACATGGTGAGTAATTTGCTTCATATCTGTCTTAATTATTTTTCCATTAAGTTTTGAAGTTGTGACAGTAAGATTACTATGTGAACCGATCTTGTAATGGCTCAAGTTATTCCAATCAAAACCTGACTCGTTTAAAGATATTGCTTCTTTTTTGTCAATACTCGGATAATCTCCTCGAACGCATAATGGTGTTTCATCTAACATGTTTATAACATTTTCTAATTGGCCTCGTTTACCATTGATTTCAACAAAGTAGTTCCTATAGAGAGCACCTGGTGCATATGCAATAGCACAGTAAGGTCCTTGTGTTATATCATCTTCATAACTTGAGATTCCCTCACTGGCAGATTGGTATTCGCTTACGAATTCAAGACAATTGAAATTAGATGCAGCTAAAAATGTTGCTCCATCGTTTTCTGGAATTGATTGTGATGCAAGGGAATCAACTGGAGATAATTCATTCGGCTTTGTGCGACCTCCAACAATGATATTAAGAGTTCCATTGTTTCTATCTTCATGTTTTGGAATATCATTAATTCCAACAACTTCGAACTTACCAGCGGAATAAGTTTCATTTAAAATTTTATTGTGCATGAAAATATTCCCTGTACTATCCTTGGAAATATCAATATTTGAATAAACTTTCTCAATAGACTCTTCGAACCCAAATACAGTATCGAAAAAGCACATGATAAAAATGAAGTAAAAAATTGAAGTAAAAAAATGCATTCAAATATTAGTCAAAAAAATTTCAAATAACAAAGTATTCACAGAGTGAAGTTATCAATACAAATGATCAAAATGACAACAAATCTTTATCATTAAGCTATAAAGAGGAATTGCTTGCAAACATCTAACTTTAAGTTTCATCAATGCCTGTTTGATTTTCTCTATATTTTATTAAAAGAATAGTATTGAACAACTTCAACATACGTTGTTATTACAAATATAATTCATTTTTATTCTTATTAATAAAGATTATTCATTTTTTTATTAATTTCATGCCCAATTTTTCTCTAAACTAGAAAATAAATTCCTTTGAATTATATTGTCTTTGTGTTTTAGAAATAATATTATCATATTCATTTGTTTCATGAAATTTTCAAAAGTCAATTTTTATAAAGCCAATTCAATATAGCACAGTATATCTGCATTCCCATTCAAAATCACTGACAGTTTTTATTATTTATAGGGTTGCGTTTTCAGTGACGATGTTTGTATATTATAGAAATAATATTGTCAAAATCATGAATTTTTCAAAAGTCAATTTTTATTCTGAATTTTCTTATGGTAAACAAATTTCAAATGTATCACGTTTTTACATAAGGATAGTATTTATATAAATAAATAATATTAGTGAAGAGCAAAATTTGTTTAGATTGTGAGCAAAATTTTTTAATGGTAGTTATTGGGTTGAATAATCAAATACTTCAGAGAATTAATGATTACAATACATCAGATAAAGTAGTATTGTCAATAAATAATGTCGAAATAACAATCAACAAGTCTTTCGCAGTTGCATTTTCGAAAACTTTTTACTCACAGTACTTGTTAGACAATAGTACAGATAAAATCGATGCAAATACAGACATTGAATCACAAGATACATACAATATTTTGAAAGACATCCTTCAATACAGGAAAACAGAGTTCGAATGCAACGAAACAATTTTGAAAGATCTCTTTCACATCGGTCTCAAACTTGAGATGCAAGAACTTATTAATTTATACGAAACATATGTCATCGATAAAATGGAAATTAACAAAAACAATTGTTTTCAAATTCTTGAGATTTATGTATATGTGCCTTATGAAGACAAGATTTCAGAATGTCTTAATTTCATCTCATCACATTTTTTCGAAATTGATTTGGAACGACTCAAAATAATATCAATTGCATTTGGAATTGACTTTATCAATCTTATCGTCTGCAACGATTTGTTAGTTATCAAAGATGAGGATTCATTTGCCAAATTCGTTATTTCTCTTGCTGAAGAAAATGAAACATTTTACCCATTGATCGAAAACATTCATTTTGAATTTTGTAATGATGAAATCATTCATAAAATCCAAAATTTACCAAATATAAATAACTGTCCAAATGTCATCAAATCATTATGCGATTCATTATCGAGATCAAAAAACGGGAAACAATTGAACACAAGATCTTTTAATCCAGACGATTTTCAATCGATGATAACAAATTACAAGAACTCAGATGACTTCGAAAGCATTTACAAATTCTTCGAGCGACTTTCAGAAAATGGATATCAAGATATTATTTATAAAGCATGCCAAGAAGGACTCCACAGTAAGAAAGACAGTAAACATGGCTTAGATATCCTTCTTAATGCATCGAAAGAAGGTAATTTAGATCTTGTACAAACACTCATTGAATGTGGTTGTAATAAAGAAACGACTGATAATTATAACGATACTCCTCTCATTTTAGCTTTAAAGAATGATAATCTTGATATTGTTCAATATCTCATTTCTATTGGTGCTGATAAAGAAGCCAAAAATAAATACGGATCTACTCCTCTCATTTTAGCATTAGAAGAAGGACATCTTGAGATTGTAAAATATCTCATTTCTGTTGGTGCTGATAAAGAAGCAAGAGATATAAAAGGTAATACAGCCATAGGAGTTGCAACATATGAAAACAAACTTGAGGTTGTTCAATATCTTGCCTCTATTGGTGCCAATATCGAAGCAAAAAATGAAAGCGGAAATACCCCATTAATCCAAGCATCAAAAAATGGTAATCTTGATGTCATTAAGTTTCTAATTTCTATAGGTGCTGATAAAGAGGCAAAAGGCAAAGATGAGAATACACCATTACTTTTTGCAACAATGAATGGCCATCTTGAAGTTATTCAATATCTTATTTCTGTTGGTGTTAATATCGAAGCCAAGAATAAAATTGAATCAACTTCTCTAATTGTTGCATCAACAAAAGGTCTTCAAAGCGTAGCACAATATTTTACTTCTGATGGTGCTGATAAAGAAGTAAAGAATAACTCGTCATGCCCCCCTCAAAGCGATGCGTCCTCAAATGAAAATCTTGAAATTATACAATATCTTGTGTCTGTTGGTGCTGATATAGAATCGCAGGATCATAATGGAATGACACCATTGATATGGGCTTCAATAATAGGAAATCTTAAAATAGTTCAATATCTTATTTCTAATGGAGCTAATATTGAGGCAAAAGATAAAAAAGAAAATTATCCAATTATTTATGCATCTAAATTTGGCCATCTTGAAGTTATTAAATGTCTTATTTTGGCTGGTGCTAATTCCGAAATAATAAATTTTATTGAAGATTCACCTCTTATAATAGCGTCACATGAAGGCCATTTAGAAATAGTCAAATATCTTATTTCTATCGGCACTAATATAGAATGGAAAAATATAGCAAATTGTACTCCCTTAATTTCCGCAATTAAAAATGGTTGTCTGGAAATTGTAAAATGTCTCATTTCAAATGGAGCCAATAAAGAAGCCAAAGATGCTAAGGGATATACCCCTCTTGTTTCGGCATCTTTCCATGGTCATCTTGAAATTGTTAAGTATCTCATATCTGTTGGTGCAAATATTGAAGAAAAAAATAATGATTTTGGAACTAATTCTCTAATTTGTGCGTCATATAATGGACACTTAGAAATAGTTAAATGTCTTATTTCTGCTGGTGCGAATAAAGAAACAAGAGATCAAAACGGAAGATCTTCGTTATTCGTCGCCTCAGCTTATGTCCATCTTGAAATTGTTAAATATCTCATTTCTATTGGTGCTGATATTAATGGAAGTGATAACAATGGCAACACACCACTCTGTGCAGCTTTATTTAGGGACAGACTTGAGATTGCTCAATATCTTGTTTCTGCTGGTGCTAATATAGAAAGAAAAAATAAAAATGGCGATTCTCCATTAATTCAAACATCAATATGGAATAAACTAGAAATTGTCAAATATCTAATTTCTATTGGTGCTGATATAGAATCAACAGATGGAAAGGGAATTACATCATTAATTATTGCATCAAAGAATGATAATCTTGAAATTGTTAAATATCTTATTTCTTCTGGTGCCAATATTGAGGCAAAGTATGAAGTTAGAACAACATCACTTCTCTATGCATCAATTAAAGGCCATTTTGACATTGTTAAATATCTTGTTTCTGCTGGTGCCAACATCGAAGCAAAGGATAAGTTTGAATTAACATCACTCCTCTATGCATCAAATTATAACTATCTTGAAATCATTAAATATCTAGTTTCTGCTGGTGCCAACATCGAAACAAAGAATAAGGATGAATCGACTCCACTAATAATTGCATCAATAAATGGTAATCTTGAAATTGTTAAATATCTTGTTTCTGCTGGTGCAAACATCGAAGCAAAGAATTCTTGTGGATCGACTCCGCTTATAATTGCAACGGCAGAAGGCAACTTAAATCTTCTTCAATACCTTGTTTCCGTCGGAGCTAATTTTGAAGCAAAAGATAATGATGGATATTTTCCACTTGTTATTGCATCTTTCAAAGGACATTTGGAAGTAATACAGTATTTAATCTCTATTGGAGTTGATAAAGAAGCAAAATATAATAGAATCACCCCACTTATGTTTGCATCATCTCATAATCATCTTGAAATTGTTCAATATCTTATTTCCATTGGAGCAAATTTTGAATCAGATGAAAATGCTGCATATCCTGCGATTATATGTGCCTCCGTTCGTGGAAATTTAGAAATTGTAAAATATCTTCTTTCAATTGGAGCTAATATTGAAGCAAAAGATGAAAAAGGGGCAAATTCGCTCATATATGCTTCAATTTTTGATCATCTTGATATTGTTAGGTATCTCATTTCCGTCGGTGCTGAAGTAGAGGCAAAAGATAATAATGGTACGACATCACTTATTTGGGCTTCAGTCCAAGGTAATCTTGAAGTTGTTAAGTATCTCATTTCCGTCGGTGCTGAAATAGAGGCAACAGATAATGGTGGTAAGACTTCACTTATTTTGGCTTCATATAAGGGTCATCTTGAAATTGTTAAATACCTCATTTCAATTGGAGCTGACAAAGAAGCAAAAGATAATTATTGGAATACACCACTCATTGAAGCATCAAAAAATAATGTAACTGAAGTAGTTGAATATCTTATTTCGGTTGGTGCAAAGGCAAACGGAATTGCAAAATGGGCTCCAATAAAGAAATCTTGGGCTTCTGTTGATTAATTCCCAAATATTGATTTTTAAAAGTAATGCACAATAATATACACTCGATTATTAATATAAGATTATTTTTAAAAGAAGATAAACTTGAATAAAATTTTTACCATAGTTAAAATAAAATAAAAGAAAATGATGGAAAATAGAAGGTGATTTTAGATGCAGCACATGAAAGCTGTAGCGATGTAAGAAGTGTTTACTGTCATGATTGGTGTTGAGCTGCATCTTGTATCTGCGAGCAATGCCTGTGACATTGGAGATACGTATGGAATCTTTGATGGATCCGGAGGAGTATAAGCCTGTTCGCAATCCTGTTTGAGCATCTGTTCCAAGTCATTCAAGACTGTGTCGTTGAACAAACCCTTTCCGTTGTGTTTCCTTAGGCCTCTTTCTTCGAGTTTCTGCTTGAGCTCTTCCATTGTGCATGGGTGATATGCCAATGCAGTAGAGTTTGCCATGTCGAACAAATCTGGGTTGTCAGCGATTGGATTGAGCATGTGGTTGTAGAGAGCGACATCATCGAAGAAGCAGTACCATGTTGCAATTGCTGGATGGCAATCGTAGTACTTGAGACGAGAGTAGATACCGTCCAAGTCTTGTTTGTAGAGAGTTGTGATATCATGGACATTTTGGTTCTGCTCGAATTTGTTCAAGTACTCAATTAATTCGTCTTCTGGAACATGGTCGTTCATGTAAACTAACTGCCAGAAGTTATATGATAAGATTTCTTCGTCTTCTCTTCTTTCTTCTTCCAAATCATCGTGCATCAACTTGATTCTCTCAACTAAAGCCGGCCACTTTGATTCGATCAAATGTTTGTTCTCTGGATCATTCAAGAGTTTGTTGAGTTCCTCGTTTAATGTGAATGATTCTGTGATTCCAATTGTTGTTCCTTTGGCTTTGTATTGGATGTTTTCAAGGACTTTTCCATTGGATAATGTGCATTCTCCATCTTGGAACTCGATCTTTACTTTGAAGCCATTTGCAAATGGATCATTTGCAATGGCTTTGACTTTGAGAACACCTCTGTGGAAGTGGACAGGAACTTCTTCCTTTGGACCGCCTTCAGAACGAGGAACAATCTTCGTGAGTTCGAAATTGACTGTTTCGTTGTTGAGGCAGCGAAGGAACATACGGACTTTCCTTCCTTGTGTAACTGGCTGTTCGAAGAAGTTCTGGCGGTAGAACTCAACAACTTCGTCGTCTTTGAGTTCCAACATCGTGTTGTCATCGTAAATCATGTTGATTCTAAATGGGAAAGGAGTGATGAACATTCTTCCCCAGCATGTCTTTCCTTCGCGTTTGTTTGTTCTGAAGTAACAGTCTGGTCCTTCAATTTCAAGACACATTCTTCTGGCTTGTGCAATGTCTTCGCGTGGAGGAATGAGTGACTGTTTGTATTCGATCTTTCCGTATCTTCTGAAGATGTTTTCCATGATGTTGAGACGGTCGAAACATGGTTCTAATGTGCCGCAAGAAGAGAACAAACCACGCCAGAATCTGTGCCAGATTCTCTGCTGGCGTTCGATTGGTGGATTGTATGCCATGCCTGGAGAGAATTTCAGTTTGCCGAATTTCTTGCGGAAGAAAACTTTGACGAACTGCAAATTCGAAAGGAAAATGATGATCATGATGCCGAGATTTGCGAAATTGACAACGGAAAGGGCGAGGGAGTCCCACGGAGGATAGAGGACATCTTTGATGACACAGATCTGAAGAACAATTGTGCAAACAGCTGTAATACGTGCGGAAAGGTCGATCCAGTCATCTTGTGGTAAAATGAAGGGTGATGAGATGATGGAACATAAGGCGTAGACGGTGACAATAGCAAGGGAGACACAGGCGGGAGCTAAGGCGGCTGTAAACAATGGAATAAGTGGAATAATCAATAACATCTTGACAACCATTGTAATAACTTTGTAGGCGGACCAGCCGTACTCGTAGCCTGAATAGAGGAAGTTGTAGGGACATTTGTCAGCGGCAACAAGCTCTTTGTATTGTTCGAGGTATTTATCTTTGTCGTAGGAGAGATCGAATATTTCGCCGGATGCGTCGTATTTCTGTGGCTTTGGTTGGTATTTGTTGATGGTCAGATAAACTTGGAATGGAAGATATAAGCCAATGAATAAAAAGTGGACCATGGCAACGGCAAAATGGATCCAGTGCTTACCACTGTAGCATGTAAGCTGGTATGGGGACATTAAGCCTTCGAAACAGAAGATAACCTTGAAGCCGGAAGTAATCGAAGGAAGGTATAAAAGAGTGATAGCTGTGACAAGGCCATAGACCCATAAGTTCCATATTGTGCCTCTCTTCTCCCAGCCGAATGCATTAGGACCTTTAACTTCGGCTTCTGGATCTGTTGTTTTCTGAATGAGCCAGAAAATGAAAAAAACCATTGATACAATAGCCCATGCGTAGAAAATTTGTAATTCTGTAATACCCATGACGAATTGCCAAACAAGAGAAACAAAATCCATGAATTTATGGAATAATTTTTCGAATTTTTCGGGGAATTTGAACTTTGTGAACCAGAGACTGATTTGTTGGAAGAAATTCATGAAAATATCAAGTTTTACAAAGTCAAACACGAATTTAGCACATGATTCAAAAGCTTGAAAAGTAGAATCGAACTGTGCGCCTACAGCAGATACAACGCCGGAACCTGCGGCTGCTCCTGCTGCACCAGCAACACCTGCGTTCCCAAGAACACCTGCAAGATCGCCTCCTGGGATACTCATGATATTGTTTTGCGATAAACCGCCATAGTAAAAAAAATTATCAAATTATAATTTATCGTTCTTCTTCTGAAATAATAGCAAACAATAAATATTTGAATTACTTCTAGTATTGTGCTAAACAAACATAGGGTGTCTATTTTATAAGCTGAGATTTGATATTTCCTATCACAATTTCCAGAATTTCTGCTTCTTTTATATTTTCTATTGTTAAATATACATTTCTCTTTAATTACTTCCTGTTTGGCATTTGGTTTCTCTATATGGATTAATTCTCAATGATTAATTCTTGATCGAAAAATATAATCCAATAGATCAATAAAGGATATGTATTCCATTCCCCATATAACTAAGTTGTATCTTTTCATGGAAACAAGAAAGTAGTGACAATTTTGCAGGAATATCATGGGGTTTTATTTTTTTGCAGCAACACGGGTGTAAACTATTCAATTTCTCTCAAATATTAAGTACTTTTGGGCAACACGGGGATAGAATTGAATACCTTGGGCAACACGAGATTTTTTATTAAACGTATACTTTTATGAAAAATGATTGTTAACTCTATATCAAATTAAAAGCAATGATGCGCCTTCAATTCTCCATTAAATCTAGATCGTCGAAATTGCACAATTCAAGATTTCATAATTGCATTTCAAATATTTTAAAAAATGTTTTATTAGCATCCATCGAAAACCATTCCATGCTAGATACAATGCATATACAATCAAAAGGCTAAACATAAATTATGATTAGGTATTCAATTCTATCCCCGTGTTGCCCAAAAGTACTCAATATTTGAGAGAAATTGAATAGTTTACACCTGTGTTACACCCGTGTTGCTGCAAAAAAATAAAACCCAATATCATGTAATGCCAATTTGAATTCGACTTTCATTACTAATCCATGAATCATCTGCTTGACAGATGATTTGGAATCTTAATAAGTATTCTTGTGATTTGATGATGTATTCAAAATTGAGATATTCAGGATTTTCTCTATTTGTTTTAATGTTAATTGATAATATATTTATTCACAAGAAGAATTTTAAAATTCTAAACCGAAATTCTTCAAAAAAGAGAAAAAAAAATGTCAACAGAAACAAGCAATACAGACTTACAACAATATCAGGTTGCGATAAAAATAGCTGAATCACATATTAAACTGCTTTCGCAGCGTCCCATAGAAGAAACAATGGCTTCGTTAACTGAATTTGAACAACTTAAATTTAAAACCACAATGGCATACGCTCTTACAACACTTCAAATGTGTTATTTAAAGGCCAAAGGAGAAAACATCGATTCACATCCAAATAAACATTATTTAGAAAAACTTCAAGTTCTTTACTCAAAAATTGATAAATACATCGATTCACCAAGCAAATGAAATTCGATTACTCATTTTTCATGCATGTTCTCAATTCCTTTTGAATATTGACTTGTATTTTGACCATCTGCAGTATAATGATTCATCTTTTCAGTATTTTTATTTATGATGCAAATGTTATAATTCCAGAGATGTTTTAAATAAATTTGTTTTTGTACTTTATCATATTTTCCAATTTTACTTATAGCCAAACCTTTTTTAATAATAAGTATTTAACGGAATTTTCCGAATTATCTTAAGTTGAGCGAAATCAATGATAGAAAATTAAGTTTTCAAAAATTCGGAAAATATTTCTATGTCACTTTAATATTTGTTATTGAATGAATAATTCCAATCCACACCTTAAAAATGTAAAGCATAACATAACATTTTTATGAAAATCTGGCAAGATTTTTATATCCCAATTTTCTATGATAAAAAGCTAATATAGTTGTGGGAAAATCGAGGAAAACGTTGAAATTCAGGGAAAATCTGACACCAAAAATTTTACTTTCCGAAGTCTTTTTTCTTATTTTGCTCAGTCTGTGATTTGAAAATGTGTGTTATTATGCGAGAAGATATACTGTATTATATGTAAAAAATGCATGCGCTTAACTAAAATGTGTTTTTACTAAGTTAGTGTGAAGATCTTGAAATCTCTGTTTTCAAAAAAATCTCAAAGCTGGAGGCTGAATGAGGTGCAGGAATATTCTTTACAATATATATGCTGTTCTGGCACTGCTTTTATCCCTCCATCGTTGCTCTGTGAGTCTCTGTATTGGGACAAAATCTCAAATTTCAACAGTTTACGAAGTAAACAGCGAGAGTAATATCTCAGATCAGAGAAATACCATAATATATAGATATAATATCTTAAGTGAATTATAGTTGCCGTAGTTATTATACTGCTTTTAATGCTATGTATAGAGTTATAATGAGTAAAATGAAATTTTTGCATGAGCATTCTTTGATGCAGACAAGTCCATGGTTGACTTGAATTGCTGAATGCTACCACATATACTTTAATATATAAGTGTACATAGTATATGAATTACTATGTTTCAGTCTGGGATTTGAATGGAACTACTCATATGCTCATATAGACATAACACATATAGAATATAAAATATCCCCCTATACAGAATATGCGCCACTTGAGGGACCGGAAAACGTCCCCACTTTTTCTGAGGGACGTTTTCCGAATCTATCATATCTTTATACCAAATATGTTTTAACTCATAATATTTTGTGATATAATAGAGATGATTGTATATATCTATATTCTAGAATATGGAAGAAATTTAATATTTTTTCATTATATAATTTAAATTATTTCTTTGACTAGTAGTTTTTATTATGAGATAGCATGTGCTCACATTTAAAAACATATGTTGAATGATTGTATGATAAAAAGATCGTATTATTCAAGATTCTAGTTATATCAAATTCTAAATGTAATAGAAAAAAGCGGTATTTATATGAAAACAATATATCATTTAATGATGCTCAATATTGTTATTTTATCTCTATGTATTTTATGGTTATAAAATTCTCAGCATAAATTATTTGATAAATTTTATTTGTGAAGATTAATATCACACACAAGATGCAAATATCTCACACATATTTCAGGCTTTTAAAATATAATTTTTCCAATACCCTAAAGTCTTTGTTATTGGAATCTGACACGCCCGTAAATTTTTATAAAAGCTCATTAATACAGCTCCCTGATTGGAGACATTCTTTGTGACATATACCATATACTTATGTAGGCACTAGAGAATCTACCATATGATTTTAGTAGTCTACTAATGACATTCATAGTGCAATTAGACGAAATTTATTTTGCTTGTAAAACCACACTACATGAAGATCCAAACCCATTATTATAACATTATATTACTGGTACATAGTAGTATATATTGCTGAGGTTGAAATCTAAATCTAAAAAGTTATCAAGATATCAAACTAATGTAATTGGCCTAGTCTATTCAATTACAGATATATTAATATATATGATCCGGTGAATTGATTTATACATAATGACATGATATATAAAAAAAATTATAATATTTTAAAATTAGAGTTAAAATTTCACATATCTACATGCAAATGGTTAGAAATGTTATGCATATATCAATCTCGGTTGTGATTTTACTATATAGGAAAATATGTCGGAGTAATGATTCAAACTTTCAAAGTAATGCTTTATTTGAACAATATCAATTGAAATTCATTTTGATAAGTCAGGCTATGAATGATAATGATATAATAACAGTTTAAAAAAAGATAATATTATAAATTTTGAAAAGATTGATATTTTTTATTTAATTTGGAATATTCTTAATTCCAATTGATGTAGAATGTGGTATCTGTCAATTTGTGAAATTCGGCTAATTTTGGAAAGACATTTTGAATTGGGTATCAATTGTTAAAATTAAGCTTGGTTATTAATGTAAGTCAAATGCAAAATAAGGGAGAAGACAATATTTGTAATTAAATGTAACAAATTCACAATTTGAAGAATATCAATATAATTTGAAAAAATTGTTAATTTCATAGGCAACAAGATGTCTATTGACACTGCATATAATTGTGAATATATTCTTCATTTCAAAATTGATAGAGATTTAAAAACTACATGCGAAAAATAGACTTATTAATAAAGGCGACGGAGTTTATGAATAGGGTACCCTATTTATGAACGGTTAGAATTTGGAAAAACCGTCGCAAGTATGAAAACCCTGAATATGGAAAAACCGTCAAAAGTATGAACAGGTAGGTGATCGGAATCTTCATATTTTGAATTTGGAATTTCCAAACAAGAATCTAATAATCAATTATGTATGGAAATTAGAAATAATCCCTATACTATATGCTATTGTTTTTCACTTTTTTCTAAAAAATCTTCTAAATTAATTTAGATTTTATTAATTTTTAGACTAAATGCAAATATACTTGAATAATTTCTGTAATTATTGAAGAAGACTTAAACTTATATCTTAACTTAAATTCATGAATATTCTTATTTCTAATTTCTTTTTCCATTTGACAAATAAAGGGTTATCCACACTTGTCAACTTATTTATGAATAAGCATTGGAGTTTATAAATTCCAAATTGATTGGAATTTCGAAACAACTTTTGTTTGGAAATTCCAAATTCAAAATATGAAGATTCCGATCACCTACCTGTTCATACTTTTGACGGTTTTTCCATATTCAGGGTTTTCATACTTGCGACGGTTTTTCCAAATTCTAACCGTTCATAAATAGGGTACCCTATTCATAAACTCCGTCGCCTTTATTAATAAGTCTAATGAAAACTGATGATAAATGATATAAACTAATATGATTGTATAACTAGGGATGCGACGGTTTTACGCCATGACTGTTTAAAAATAGAATAATACGCCATTTTTGGGGCCGAATTGTAATAAACAGAAATTCATCAAAAGTGACAGCTCTCAATTTTTTGACATTTGTAAATTCTAAATTGAATGAGAAAAATGAAATAATACTAAGCATAATACAATATTCTAGATTTAATTATAATTAGGAAAAAGTTGGTTTTGAGAGTACTTTTCATAGACATATAGAATGAAATCTTCTGAAAAATAATATCACATAAACTCATATTATTTTCTAATATATAACTATTTTATATAAAAATCAAATTCAATGTTCTTAAAAGCGAAGGATAAACCTCAAAATTTACGAATATAATGAGTGGGAATATAATGCTTATCTATCATAAAACCATATGAAATATCAATTTTTGCTTTACGCCTAATTTTTGACGACAATTAGCAAAAAATGTTAAATGTTAACACTCAGTCCATTTGAATATGAAAAATAAAATTGACTTTGATTAAATGTTTTTATTTATCATGCAATTCTTCTTGCGACCAAAGATTTGAATAAAAGTTCAAAAAATAAGATAGCTTAAAAAACAATATACGGTAGTGTTTACTAATAGATGAATAGTATATAAATTCTATTAAAATGGATTTGATCCAAAAAAATATATAAAATTTGATCATGGGGCGGCGACAAATTTGCCCAGCCAGTAAAGTATTCAATTTTTTTTGCATTTTTTTTTAAAGCTTCTTAACTTAAATCATGGAATGTCTCAAAGACAAAAGTAGCATACAGCATGTAAAGCTAAAGAAAGATAATCATAATTAATACCTTAATTTTTAATATTACGCATTTTTAGGTGCAAAATTTAAAAACATTCTAATACAATAGAGCAGTTTCCAAAAGTAGCATACAGCATGTAAAGCTAAAGAAAGATAATCATAATTAATACCTTAATTTTTAATATTACGCATTTTTAGGTGCAAAATTTAAAAACATTCTAATACAATAGAGCAGTTTCCAAAAGTAGCATACAGCATGCAAAGCTAAAGAAAGATAATTATAATTAATACCTTTAAAGTTTAAAATCTTGATTTTTTTTAAAATCAAATATTTATAACTTTAATACATACAGCTTAAACCTTATACTTGTTTTCTCTTGTGAGAAAGCAATCTTACAAAGCTAACAATCCTAAAAAATAAAGAATTAAAATTTCATACAATCTTTTTTCGAATCTGTTCTTTTCTTAAGCCGCGAGCGAAGCGAGTGGCTTAGTTTCGTAATTTCATACAATCTTTTTTCGAATTTGTTCTTTTTGTCTCCCGCGAGCGAAGCGAGTGGCTTTTTATTTTTTAAAAATTTTTTTTCTTTCTTACTTTTTTTCCCCTTACTTACAAATTTGATAGTAACTTACCAAATCTCTCTATCATATAATAATAAATTAATCCATTTTTTGTTTCAAATCCGACACTTTACATTTCTGACATGTAAACTCGTCACTTTTCACTTCACCTCACTGGGCAAGTTTGTGCCCCCCTCTTTGATCATAAATAAAATCGTTTTAAATTACTTCTTCATTTAAATTATAACAATTATTTTTGGTTTTATTTAAAACGTACATACTCTCAAACTTCCACATCAAATTAAAATTTCGTAAATTATTGCATTCTTCATAGCACTATTTTATTATTCCAAGTTTACACATTAATGGTGCCGGAAACTGAGGTGACGCGATATCTTTTCGAGTATTGCTTATAACTTCATTTGTAGTAAAGATATTAATGATATTTAAACATGTATTAGTAGTGTATATAGTAAGGTTTTTATTTCTATGATATTGAGGTCTTGGATACTTCCAGTATGAAGAAAACTGTTTCGCAATTTTCGAACTTGCGGACCTATCTAGTCCCTGGTTATTCCATGGCAGGAGCTGATACTGCAGGAATGATATCTAGGTACAAGACACTAGATATTTTATAGAAAACATTTGGCACTTGTTAAAAAGAGTCGAGATGCAATTGGTGGGTAACTTCAAAACTAAGACCGATTGCACTACAATCTCACTGGATTCTGCTAATTACCATTAGGGAACAAACCCAATGGTAGTGGTTTCCAGTCGAAATGGTCTCATTCAAAGTTTAATTAGATTTGTATCTAGTCCTCCAATATTGTGTTTAAGCCAGTGAGATACATTAAACATAAAATTTCAATAGTTATACTAAAAGTTTTACAGAACAAAGTTTATTTTCAATTCTCATATGTTGAGATAAATGCACTTTTTTCCTTCCAGATTTTAAAAATTTTGTATGATTTTTGTGTGTTTTTGATAACCTTATAATCATAAACATCGTTTTCACTTAGTTTGAATATGATACTATGATACATCATCACTTAGTTTGAATATGATACAAAATAAAAATGATTTTATGGGTTTGAAAAGTGTTGTTTTTATAATAGCTTTCACTTCACTTTCCGGCACTTCCTTTGCGCCCGCCGTGCCATGTATAGTTTAAAAGGAGTTCGAATCCCGCTCATACCATTTTTTAAATTTTCGAAAATGAAAATTTAATTTTACTAAAATGAAATCAATTTTCATGATTGACATCCTTACTAGAATTCCTACTACACTCTTTGCGCCCAACAGCCCTTGTATATTTTAGACACAATTCCATTTTTTTTCCACAGTTCAAATTTTTTTTTTCATATTTCAATTTTTCCCCCACAATTTGAAAAATCCAGGATATAATTCGAAGTGATATTGGGCAAAAATAATTAAAGCAACATCAGATACCGTAGCTTTGAAGTGCTATGTTATAGTTTGAAACGATATTATCATATTTTTACTTATTAATTAAGATTGAGCTGAAACAAATCAATATTTTTCGTTTCTTAAATGCATAATGCTATTTTTAAAAAAATCAATAGCCTATTTTCGATAAGAATATTTTTGAAATTTTTATTTTATCGATAAAATATCAAAATTGGGAAATATAATAGCATCAAATTTTCAAGTTTAAGGTCCCAGTAAGCTCCAGTTTTAAGGAAACGGATACAATGATATAATACATATAAAATAAAGAAATATCTCCAATATTACACGATAAACAGGTACATGAAACTTTGTATAATACGGGTGAGTTTTAGGGTAAATATACGGGCAACCCTGGAAAATAATTGAGAAGATTTTACATGGCATTTGCCGGCAAATGCCATGTAAAACTCTCAAAAATATATTCTCATTCTAAATCTTTATTATTATTTTTCTTCTTCTTCCATTGCTTCTTCATTAACACGAACAGTATCAGCATCCTCCTTTGCAGCACCTTTCTTCTTCTTTAGTTTTGCGTCTTCTTTCTCCTTCAACTCGTGGTAGATCTTTGCCTTTCTTGCTGGCAATGTTCCTGCCAAAAGTCTTTCTCTTTCTTCTTTCTTTTTTTCCTTCATCTGTTTCTTCTTCTGTTTGAGATCTTCAAGTGTCTCTGTCTGTTCCTTGGCAACGCCAAGTTCCTGAGCGATGCCTTCCGCGTGCTCAATCTCCATCGCTCTCTGTCTGATCTCTGAGCTGATCTCCGCATTTTCGTCGTCATCGTCATCGGCCAAAACTTCTCTGTCATCGATCTCTTCTGGTGCTTCTGGCTGGACAGGAGCGTCCCACGGAGAGAGGTGTGGTGGGAGGACTTGGCCTGGCTGGTATGGAGCACAGTCAAGTGATGAATGCTTGTTTAAGCAGTCAAAAACCCACTGTGGCTGAATGTATTTTCTGGAAAGTACTCTCTCGTTGATAACTTTTCTGTCGGTGATCGTATGTGTGATGGATGTGTCCTTGGATGACTCGTCCCAGATAATACGGCCACCAAGTGAGCGAATAATCAAGGCAAGAGCATCGCGTGGGGTTTCGCGGCCAATTGTAAAGACGTAGTTTCCGAAAACGCCAGAATCGGCCTTTTCTTCATCATTTTCGACTGTTTCAGCAGCGGCTTTGGCGAATATTCCTGCAACTTTGTCCATATCGACTTTGGCATCGGCTGGAGCTTCGGCAACGGACTCAACAACTGGTTGCTCGTTGTTGTCGATGATAGCGTCGATGTAAAAGCCGGAATCCCACTTCTTCTGGTCATATTCTGGTGGATACTTTAATCCGATGAGTTTGAATAAGCGGAGATTGACAAATGAAAGGAGATTTTCGTAAAGCTCAAGGAAATTGAGAAGAACTGTGTAATCAACATCTGGATCTTTTGATAATGTAAATTGGTGAGGAATAAGCCAAACAACAGGGAGTCCTTCGATCTGTGCCTCGAAATGGAAACCTCTCTTTGAAATGAAGCCTTTTGTAAGGAGATGTTTGTGGGAAACGTAATAATGGAACTCAGCTAAGAGATGGCGGCATTTAAGAACGCGTGCCGAATCAAGGATGTCAGAACCAGACATTTGAGCAAAGAGAGCAACTGTTGTGAGTGCGTCATCAAGATCTTTGATTGCATCAGCGAAAGTTGGATAGCGACTGCGGATTAATTGGTCATAAGGAGCGACTGGCTCTGGTGTTTGATCGAGTTCTTTGCGATTGTAACGTTTTTCATGGTGTTTTAACCAATTTGCGTGATCACGAATGAACCAAGCCATTGGGTCACTGTTGATCATTTGTAAGTCTTTCTTGTGGAAATACGCCCATGGTGAATTTTTGTCTTTTGGCGAAACTTTTGGATATACTCCACGAAGAATTGCCATACGACCCATATCCTTTGGATCAAGGGCAACCCTCTCGATTGCCTCATCCTCCTTGACAAGGTTGGAGGACTTTCCTTCCTTGCCTTTCTGGAATGGAAGCTTCACCATTTTGTGGCCTTGAAAATTTTAAATTCAATAGTTTACAGATTTTTTGCTCCTGTGTCTCTTTTATTCCATCAAAAAACACTGGTACTAAAAACCATTAAACTAGAAAGACATCTATAAAATGATTAAATTTTCATAATCAAAATATGTTTATCTTTGATTTTTTATTTTGAATTCAAAATTATCTATGGCAATATTGAATCAAAATGTAATAACTTGTATGTTTCCGATCTTACGTATGATTTTTTGTTAAGAATGGTCGCTGATTTTAAAGAAAAAATGCGGATTTTATAAAAACTAAACAATATGATTTAAAAAACTAATATAACAAATAACAAAAATCAAGAGAATGACTTAGAAAGAATTTCTGTGCCTGGATCTTTCTTGTCTTTTTCAGCAAATGGCCACTGAATCTTGCATTCGCTTTCTTTTGGCCTCATTTCTAAAGTAAAGTCAATAAATTCTTGTAGCTTCATTGTCTTTTTAATAATTCCGTTCTGGACAATGTTAACAATCCTATCTTGGTCTTTTCGTAATAATTCGATGGAAATAAAGTCTCCAAAGGCCGGAAATGTTGTATTCAGGCCGAATGCGAGTTCTAGTGAAACAATAGATAGAGTATGGCCGGCTATCAAGGCAAATTTCGATTGTTTCATTCCTGTTAAATAATCTCGCATTCCGAAGTAAATATCTGATAAAAGGAGACCACTAGAGTACTTTACTTTTTGTTTATCACTGATTACTGACTTGTAATAGTCTACCAAGAGATTTGTCGCTTCATTTGATAATTTTTCATCAAATCCTGGAGGTAAGTAAGCATTATTACAGATATGTGCTGATAGCATCTCTCCCATTCTTCTCCAGCTTGGTGCTGCAACAATTTTAGATTCATTCTTTAAATTTTCGATTTTCTTGTTAAATTCTTTAATTCGCTTTGTAATTTCTAAGGATTCATCCTTTTCGATATCTAGAACTTTGGATAGCTCTGGGCATAAATAAGGATTCGGTACAAGAGATTCTAATTCTTCATTTGCCACAAATAACTCAATTGGAGTAAGTTCATCGTATAGATGGCTTATAATTACTTCTAAGCAGTTCATTGTTCGATCTGTGTAAGTAGATCTGAAATTAAATGCTCGTTTATGATATTTATTGGGTAAAATTGAGGAATATGTGCGTTTTATGTATTTTGCTAATGAAACCATTTGATCTATGCCAGTATCTAACAAAGATCCGGCTTGGCAAGTGCCTTTAAGAAAACTTTGAGAAGAAATCGGAACAGCTCTGAAAACATTGATGTTATTGTTTGATTGTTCATCGAATGCATCTTTTCCTGGATAAAGAATCTGTTTTGCACTGCATTCCCAGTTCGCATCGTGGCCTGGAATTTTATCAATTGGAGAATGAATTCCGTGCTTAAAAAGAATTGTGACATACTCTCGCTCGTACTTGTCTTGCGTTATTGCTTCTGTGTAAGTCGGTGAGCAGTATTTCGGAATAGAAGTCCCAAAAATCAGAAAAATCGAAAACATCAAAAAAATTTTTGACAAAAATGAAATTGTCAAAAATTATGAATTTGCATTTGAAATTTTTATAGCCAGAACAGCTTTGTGTGAGTACTTTCAGTAAGCAGACACACTTTAATTATTAGTTGTATGAGTAGTTTGGATAATTTGCATATTTCTTCTGATTATAGCTTTGAAATTAAAGAAAGAAGTGTCTGGATGGTTAGATCTAAAACTAGAAGGTTTAACGCAGATAATCGTTTTGAACGCAATAGACCTTTGAGTCATATAACTCTTTGAAATCTTTTGATCATATCTGACTCTATTTGGTTCATTCAGTGAGATATTGTTCATCTGACTTGTGCACTATGTAATAAAGATATTCAAGGAAAATTGAGAAGGAAAAAGGAAGTAAAAAAATGAAATCATTACTCAATGATATATTGTTCAGCTTTCAATCACCAAAGATAAAGGAATAGTAATACATTTATAAACTATGATAAAATTTCTTTCATTTCAGACTATTTATGTTAGAAACTCAATATGAATAATTATTCTATCATTTAATAAAACTTCGACGCGCCTATTGTGCATTTGACAGCCTTCTTGCATGTTTGACTCCTTTTAGGCTTGACTATATCTTAAGATTCAATATTTGATTCATTATACGCAATTTTCAGAAAATTATCAAATCAAATGTCTTCAAAGTATAATTCGCTTCTAGAATCATTGAGGTCTCAAAATCCTTTGGAGCGAAACAGAACATCATCTATGCTTGCAGATTTGTTAAAGGATCTTCAGCCAAATGAAGTAAGAGACGTTTTAATTCAAATCAAAAGTATCGAAAGACAATCTTTAGAAATGCAAGCTCAAATTTGCCGTGCCCTTGGCAATCTTGTTCCATTAGTTGGTGGCAGAGATTATATTTCCAAAGTTTTAGACACAATTGAATTTTATCTCGAAACTGACGATGACAATATACGCGAAAAATGCATAGCATCCATTGATCAGCTCGTAAAATCATCAAACACCGAAGAAATAGAGAAAATTTTCATTCCATTCTTCATAAAATTATCAAAAGATGCATTTTATGGAAAAAGATCAGCATCTGCTTTAATAATTTGCTTAGCTTCCAAGTATTTAACAGAACAAGAAAGCAATTCTCTATTCCCTATTCTAGAAACACTTGTTTCCGATCAAAGCATTGAAGTTCGAAGAGATTTAGCAAAAGCAATGTATGATGCATTTAATTCACACAAGTTTATTGTCGAAAAACTGATTTTAATCCTTTCAAAATTAATAAATGACCAAACTGTTATAGTTCAAAAGAATATCGCGCCTGCTTTAACATGCCTGACTCATGAGAAGTACAATGACTTCGTAGATGATGCAATTAATATCATTGTTGCAAATAAAAAATTTGAAAACGTAATTTCCATTCTCAGCAACATAGAAAATTTGTATATTACAAAAGAAACCCAACAGTATTTATATTCCTTCATATTTACAGATGAACATCCATTAGTTCGCGCTGAATCAGCAAAACATTTGAAATTTATTGCAAAAAGTAACGTTTTAAGTAAAGAAAAGCTTGATGAATCAATTAAACTACTTGCAAAGGATAGTGATCCACAGGTTTTGTTCGAATTGGCCAAATCAATTCCAAATTTAATTGAAAATCATAAAGAAGCATGTGAATTTGCACTTTCTATACTCACAGAATCAACAGATACAAGGATATCTAACCAAGCATACGAGGCAATCGCTGAAACTGGCGTTGGAATCGAAATTGCAATTAATAGAATTTCCCAAATTGGAAATTCACACTGGAGAACAATGATTTCGATGTGTTGTGTTATAGGATTGATGTCTAAGACCTTAGATGTTGATTCTTTCAATGAAAAATTATTACAATATCTTTATATTCTTTTTGAATCAAAAGTCTGGGGTGTAAGAAGTCAAGCAGTTGATACAGTCAAAGATATTATGCAAGTTTATGGCACAGATTGGTTTTTCACCAAAATTTATGATTATGTCATTGAAAAGTTCTCAAAAGGTAACTATTTAGATCGCCAACTTTCTGTTCTTGTTGCATGTTCATCCCCTGATTATTCCAAAGTTTCTGGATTCTTGAAACAAATTACTTCAGATCCAACATCAAATGTCCGTCTTATGCTTGCAAAAGAATGTCCAAAGCAATTCACTGAGATTCTGGACATTTTATCTCATGATTCCGACCAAGATGTTTCATATTATGCAAATCAAAGGAAAAATTAAATAAAAAAATAATAGATATATACATTAGAACTAATATTTAAATTTATCTTGTTAATAAATCATTTATTTTCTTCATATACTTCATTATATGAGTGTTTGATACATAAATCTTTTGATTTTAAAGTTTTGATTTTTATTTTCCGTTTAGGGCTATATCATATAATCAAATGTGTATATATGGTTCACTTACACATGTTATTTCTGGCACAGGGACTAATTCCTGAAAAGTGAAACAAATAGGGGCGTGAAATTCATTTTTAGGAAAATGAGTTTATATTCTGACATTGTAAAATCCCTCCCACTCCCTTATTTCTGTTTTCCATTTCACGTGATATCATCTGGCTTAGATTCGAATTTTTGGCAACGGGCGTGAAGCATTAATGAAAACTAACCATAAACAATTAAAACACATTCTGAACTGTTTCCCCTTATGCATGATAAATGTTTCCTGAATAGCGATAAGCTATGTTTAGATGATTAATCAAATAACATGTTATGTCAACCAACCATTGAAAAAGTCAAGAAAACCTTAATTTTTTATAATTTTTCTGTAGTGCCGTTGCATAGCAGCGGCCAATTATTATGGGATTTATACATACCATGCATATCCTGGGATCTATCAAATCGAATGTTGGGGTGCATCTGGTGCCGATGACCGCAATAATGGCGGTCTTGGTAGTTATGTTTCCGGAATGATCAAATTTAATCATTTCACCCAATTATTCATTTATGTTGGTGAAAGAGGGAAAAAGAATGGAAATACAACCACTTTTAATGGTGGCGGTAGTTGTTCTCCTTATGATCCCTCAAAACGTGAATCGGAATATATATTCTGCTATTCTGGTGGAGGCGCAACAGATGTTCGATTAAAAAACAGTACAGATATTGAAGGACTAAAGTCAAGAATTATTGTCGCAGGTGCAGGAGGTGGTGTTGTCCTTGATGGATTTATTCAACATAATAACAACAATCCTACAAATGGAACAGGAGGATGCGGTGGAAATATCAATGGTGGAGATGGAAGCCATTCCCTCCATGGAGAATATAACGCTTCTTATATTCCTGCTACTGGAGGCAGTCAAATTAAAGGAGGAAAAGCTGGAGTTTCTGATTATGAAAATTTTGAAAACGGAGATGATGGATTGTTCGGAAAGGGAGGTAATAGTTCACCAAAGGCTCGTTCAGTCTCTAGAGGTGGTTCTGGCTACTTTGGAGGCGGTGGAGGATCTGTTTCACATGATAGACATGGCACAGGTGCAGGAGGTTCTTCGTATGTGTCTGGATGCAACGATTGTAATAGTGTTTCGAAATACTATTCATTCGAAAACAATAATTCATTTATTGGTCCTGTTCACTACTCAGGACTTTCATTCACTAGTATTCAAATGCTCTCCGGTAATGAAAAACTCCCGATATTTACATCATCGAATATTAATCAATATGATAATTTTGAGCAGGGTCATTTAGGTCATATTGATTACAATGATTGCACGTATTAACATTTGCTCAAATAATATGATTCCATATTTCAGATCCATCTCTCTCAATTCAATAATTGCTATAGCTTCCTAAATTTTTTAAAGGTGCCCTTACGCCCAACTAGCGTGAATCGTTATTGAAAATCAACCTTAAACAGAATAATTGAATGCCCTATCATATATGCGTAAGTGTAACCTTTTAGGATGATGTCTCCACTTTCTAGCATTCTCTCAAAGTTTCTTCTTTTGTCAAACTGAATGTAGTCATGACAACTCAAAAGTAAATAATTATGTCTATTATTTCTTGAATTCCAATGGTGCGCATTACAGATCTAGCCATCCCACATTTTAAAATAACTCGATTTTTATTCCAAAGTCCAAAAAAATGAGTAAAGAAATAACGTACAATAGTAGTAGGATATGAAGGGTTGTGTGACTTTTTTTGTTACATCTATATATAGACGATGCATTAAAATATATTTATTTATAAATCATTAAAAAATTAACATTAATTTTAAAATAATTTATTTTTTTATCTTTTATAAAAGAAGCTATATATAGATGATGTCAGATATTCCGCGATTAATTAAACATCATTTAAATCCTGAATGGGTTAAACTTCAATTTAAAAATGAAGATTGTGAATTATTAAATGAATATGAAAGCCAAAATAAGCTAATGAGGTATAAATATAATGATAAAGAATATTTAATTTCATGGAATCAATGGAGTCATAATCAAAGACCTCATAAACGAGAAGAAGAAATTGAAAATAATGAAATGGAAATCATTGATGACATTAAAGAGGATGGAATTCCTAAATTTTGTAGAAAAACCTTTAGAACTAAGTTAGGAGCATATAAACGTAGAGTATTAAATCCTGAATACATAAAACATTTATTTAAAAAGGAAGACTGCGAATTATTAAACGCTAATGAATATGAAAATGCTAAATCAAAACTGAGATATAAATATATTGGAAGTGATGAAAGGTGTAAAGATAAAGATAAAGTTTATTCAGTTTCATATAATAACTGGCACACGTTAGGGATAAGAAAACATTTAGGAGATTATGGGAAATGTTCTGAATTCTTTAAATCTAGTATATACGAGAGAGTAAAAGAAATTAGAAATAATTATTTTGAATAATTTATTTTTTGTAAACGTAAGAATTCTCACAAATATTGAACGATTTTGTATCATGAATGGAATCAATGGAGTCATAATCAAAGACCTCATAAACGAGAAGAAGAAATTAGAAACTAATGATTATTTGAATTTATGAAATCAATAATTTGATTTATTCGCTCTTCAATAATTTCTATTCTTTTTGTTAAATCATCTATTTTCATTAATGAGGTGATTCTTGATTGAGGAATAGATTTCAAACTAACCACTCCTTTTATTTTTGAAATTTTGAATCCATCAACTTTAAACATTTTATTCAATTTACATGTTGTCAATTCTTCAAATAATTTTTTATTATTAGCATAATAGTCATTAAATTCTTCAACAGATGAAAAAATTTTTATTTCAGTAATTGGTTTAACAACGTTTATTTTTTGTTGAACATTTTCACTTTCATTTATTTCTTCCTCCTCTGTTTCATTTATTTTTAAAATTGGTTTCATTTATCATTAAATAAAAATTAGAATATAAGTGATGAAATATATTTTTTAATTAATATTAAATCAGAAATGGCGGCAGGATTCTTTAAAAAATTATGGGAAGGAATTAAGAAAGCTGCGGGTTGGGTTCATAAAAATATTATTAAACCCGTTGCAAACTTTTTGGCACCAGTAGCGAAAACGGCAGGAACTATCATAGGTGGAGTATTAGGTACTAAAGCAGGTAATCCGGCAATGGGAGCACAAGCAGGTAACGCAGTTGGTGGAATTGCTGAAGGAATACTTAATAAAATAGGAGGTAGATAGTGGAAAAATAAATAAATATTATTTTTATCTTAGTATCGGTTGTAGTCTTTGATAAACTTTTTCTCCTTTATTTAATATTTCTCTTATTGGGGCAGCTTTTGGTGTTATTGATTCAGCAACGTCACTAATTGCTTCTTTATTCTTAAATATCCAATTTGCTCCTTTCTTCATTGTTTCCCAAACTTTATGCGCTCCTCTTTTTACTCTATCCCATAATTTTTTAAAGAATCCTGCAGCCATAGTTGATTATTTCATTAAAATTAAAAATTCATTTTCATCTTTTAATTTTGATTTTTTATTTATTAATAAATGACGACTAACTATTTGGTGCCAAACACCAAACCGATTAATGGAAATGTGTTTCATTCATTCGAAAAGATAAATGAAATATTCGCAAAGAATGACGGTAGAAGATATTATAGAGAACTTGAAAGTTCATGCTATGACTCTGATGCTCCATATTTTGATGATAAACAAACTCATTTAAGAATTACAAATCCGGCTCATGATGTGAACCAATTAGGTGACACATATATTAAACGCAAAGTTAAAGCAACTCTAGTTTCAAATAAAGCTTTCACATGTGATGCCGCTTTTAAATGCATGCGTTTATTCGTTGGTTACAAATCATCAAATCAAAGCTTTAAACAATTAGAAGTAGAAACTGAAAGAGGTGATGCTGGTTATCTTCAGATGGATTGTGCCCGTGAATCTTTCGCATTTGCAACATATAAACCAAAATCAGAAAGGAAAGTTAAAAAGTTTGTTCATTCGTTATATAATAATGTTCAAAAATATGATAACTCAGTATGTGGTAAATATATTGACCCTTCAGAAGTTTTCAAGAAAGCAAATGAAGAAGTTGATGTCACTTTTGATATGATTATTCCGGTAAATGATTTGTTAGCATTTCAGGCGTTTGATGATTATCCTAAATCATTTGGTGAAATCATTCTTAAATATTATGTTTTCAGGGATACTTTAGTATTTGTCAGGTTGACCCGTTAAGAGTTGCTGATTTACAAAATTACGTTTATGAAAAGATAACTGATGAAAATTATGAAAAGATTATGAATCATGTTTATAAATATGATCGCAAATTCCAACAAATCGGACTTCCTGCCAAATTAATTACAAGCTTAGCCGCTACATCTGCTGACGCAACAGTTGATAACGTTATTATTTCATGCACAAAGATGGAAGTTTTAGAGGATAAATGCATTACACCAGGATACGGTTTAATTGAAGAATCAGTTAAAGCAATACCACGTTTATTCAGTAAGGAAGATCCATTCATGATTCCAGCTCAACATATTGACGTTCGTTCACTAAATGGAGGTTGCATCACTCCTGAAGGTATCAGCTCAGATTTCTCATACGCTCTTCATAATGTTACAGATGTTGTGTTAGCATTTCCGAAGAATGCAATGCAAAGAACAGTTTTAGAAAATCCAATGCTTCGAGGTCTTCAGGTCACTATAGATTCCAGAAACTTCCCCGATCAAGCGATGACCACAGTGGGTGACATATTCTTTACACGTATGCTTCAAGCTTCTGATTTAGATGGAGTGAATGAATGCACAGAAGAATACGAGGACTCATTAACTAGACCACTGAATGGTGATGATGGCACGCCATTAGCTAGAACATGGAAAGACCAAACTTCATTCTTATGCACTATTCCAGTTCAACGTGATGGAGCGAGTATATTCTTTGATGGATTAGAAACTTTCAACTCACAAGTTACAGTACAAGTGAAAGCTTATCCAATCATTCAGGGTGAAAATGACACTTATTGTTCAAAGGTGACAAATCCTCCTCAGGTTTGGTTTACTAGGACTACATATTGGACATGGACACCGGATGAAGGTTTGAAATATCATCCAACAGGTACACCACCACAGTATAGAAGTTCATATGATGAAATATTGATGAATAGAAATGTTTAAAATTATAAATTTATTTTTGATTAAATGGATTTAAATTCATCCGCCCCTTATGAAGAATTAGCGGGAGTATATAATACATACGTAGATGATATGATTAATGAAGCATTGAGTGATAATAGAAATGCTCTATCTAAGGAAAAATTAATGAAAATTCCATATTCTGAATGTTACTTAAATTCAATCACTGCAGCAATTGGTAAACAAAATAAAGGTAAAACATTAACGATATTAAAACAAATTATCATTATTGCTAACACTTCCCCCTATTCACATGTGTTAATTTATATCAACCGTTCAGGTTCACTTTCAGATGATACATTTGAATCTTTAAAGCATTTAATCAAAATTCCAATTATTTATTTATCACAAGAAGAAGCAGAAGATTATTTAAAAAACTTTTTAATGTATAAAGAATTATATAATACAATCAAGAAGCAAGGATTAGAGGATAAAATTATTGATAAACAACGGGATGAATTATTTGAAACACTTTCCATTTCAAATTTTGATAAAGAATTTTTGCATTCACTAATTTTTCTAGATGATGCCGTGAAATCAAAACTAATAACAAATGAGAAATCATATTTTAATCAGTTATTAACTCAATGTCGACACATTCAGTGTTCATTCTTTATGGCTGTTCAATATTTCAAAGCATTAAGCACAAACATTAAATCAAATCTATCAACACTTTTCATTTTCAGTGGTTTTAGTCGTCAACAGTTGAACGTTATGCTTTATCAAGTGAATTTACCAATGAGCAGTAATGAACTTTACACACAATATCAACAATTAGGAGAACATGGAAAAATAATAGTTGATTTAAATAAAGGAAGTGTTAAATTTGATTAACTTTGTATAATTAATTTTTATTTTTTATTTATAATTAAACATGACAGAAATAGCAAATCTTCTACAGGTTCCATTAAAACAAGGAACAAACAAAAAGGGTGCATATAATAGAACTATGAAAGTTCCAGACGGAATGAAAGAATTAGTTCATATTGTTGCTGGTCTTCAAAAAGATGTTAAACAAATGAGAAACGTTTTAACATTACCAGAAGCTCAAGCATATGCCAAACGTCATGGTCCAAATTGGGAAGCACACGAAGCAGACATTACGGGTCCAAATGGAAAACCTGATGGTATAAATGAAGTTTTCGTTACTGATGGTCAAGGAAATATTAAAGTCATAAATGGGTATAAATTAACAATGACGGATTATCCTAAACGTAAAGCATATAATGAACGTTATCCTATGAAATTTGATGAAAATGGAAAAGCTGTTAAACAATACATTAGAGAAGGTGAACATGGTCCAATTAATTCATACCGTCATAATCCATATTCTTATTTCAATGCAGAATTAAATGCTATTGAAGAGGGACCGGATGGATTACCTCAATATGTTAATCAGTTTGATGGTCAATATGCAAATTTGAGACCTGAAATTCCAGCTAAGAAATTCTTTAAAGTTGCTTTATTCGATCCAGTGTTCAATGAACAGAAAGAAGCAATGAAAGCAGAATTTCAACCAATTCAAGTGGCAAGAATTTCTTCATCTTCACTTTCAGAAGCGTTCAAGGAATTGATAAAGAAACCACTTTGTTCTCAACAAGGTTATAACTTTGATTTAATTAAAGAAAGTGATAGACGTAAATTAGAAAAATCAGATGGTTTTAAGAATGCATGTAATGAAATGATTAAAGATATTGTAAATGATAAAATAAGACTGGAAGAAACTCAAAGCAATATCAATAACATAATTGGTGCAGTTACAAAGAAAGTATAAGCAAACAATGATGAACCTTGGGATATTACCGTAACAACTAAATAAAACTTTAAATATATTTTTCTTTTTTTTATTCAATTATAAATGAGAAGACGTTTCACAAGTCAAAAGAACACAAACGCAAAAGCAGAGATTACGGTTGGTTATAACGTAAATGATGATAAATCACGAATTATTCAAAATGTTAAAGTTAATGTTAGTCCTGAATTAACAAGGTCAGCAACACAGTCCAATTTATTAACTCGTGACTTACCAAAGAAAGAGGAGGAGCAAAATAAAGAAGATGGAGACCCAATCATTTTATCTGAACCCGGTAAAGAACCCGTTGAAATCCCCACATATCCAACATACCCCCACCTCTTTCATCAAACATCGAGAACCCAGGAATCTACGATTCCAGTCGCAATGCGCCATATAAAGTAGACATTAATTCTGAATTAATGAAAATTTACCGTGATATAATAATTAATAATTATGATTCAATAATAAATTTAATTGACCAATCCGGTTTAATTATTTTACCTTATGAATCATTAATTCACATTATCACCATTCTTTGTGATGTTCAAGATTCAGACGTTAAGATTCAATTTTCATAGATGATGAGGTTTCATGCTGCGGAACAGTTGCAAAAATAAATCCTATAAAGGATATTAGCACAATTAAGATATCAAAGAACGGAACAACAACTGAACTTCATTTAACATATAATGATATTTATAATAAAATAGTTGATGAATATAAAATATCACTTGAAAAATTCTTTGTTAAGGCTATTTAATATTCAAGCATTAACATTATCGAAAATAATCCTTTGAATCATAATCAATAATAATTGACCTTTCACCAGTTTCTATCGTTTGTTTTATTTCTTTTTGTTCCCCACTATCTGGATCGGTCATTGTAATTGTTTTTGTTATAGTATCAGCTTTATCTTTAACTTCAATCTTTTTTCCATCAGGATATTTAAACCAAAATTCCAAAAATTCGATATTGTCAATCTGTTCATATTTTAATCTATCAATTACATTTTTAATACCATCTGAAAATCTTATGAAATGGTCATTATATGGGTTTGATTGAACTAAATTTGAATGAAGTGAAATATAACCTGTTGATGAATATGACATTGACTCATATTTTCTGAAAACACTAAAATTTATAACATGAATGAATTTCTTATTCGTTGAATTTATGAATTCTTGAGGTAATCTTATTCTAGTTTTTATTTATCACTGGAAAATAACGCTTTACCATATTTTTAATCGTAATAAAAATGTCAATTATCAATATTATTTCGAATAATAACTGTGAATTAAATTTAACAGTTAGCGGAATTTATAATGTTACTCTCGTTTCTGTGAGTGGTAAATTTAATCCCATTCTTTTAGACCCTTCAGATTATATATCATTTATTAAAGATGACCTTGAAAAAACGTATGATATGTATATAAATCATGTGATAGCGAAATGGGATATTAACATGATTTTAAGTTATTTAAATGAATCATTTATCGTATGGTATGAAGAAAATTTTAAATCAAAACCCGATAAACTTTTTGAACTTGATGAAATAAATAACCTTATTAAATTTCCGCTGAAAATTAAATTTTGTACTCCTCATCTTCGTTCATTGTTGGGGATATTAAATTTTGAAAAAGATGTTGGGGATGTTTTGTATTCTGACACTGGTTCCAATTTCATTTTAATCAAATGTGATAAAGTTAATACCCCAATGAGATTTTCACATCAAACATTAGACCCTAACTCTTACCCATCAATACAAAACATTTTATCCATCAACTTAAACACATTTTCTTTATCATATCCGTTTCAATTATCCGGGAATTCATTTATTCTTCATTCAAAAGATTTATCAAATATTAAATTTAGAATAAGTGACCTATTTGATTGTGATTTAGAATTTATGAATGAAATATTATGGCAATTTCAAATAGAAAAAATAGCTGATGAGATAACGGATTAAATATTTATTTTTAAATCATAATAAATGATTAAACAACAGCAACCACAACAACTTAAGGCACAAAGCACCCAGGTCCCTCAGACCATTACATACTCCATATATGCATATAATTCAAAGACGGCAGAACAAACGCAAAGGTTGAAATATGGAGATTTGGAGATAGTATTGAAAAATGACCATTTCGAATTCGTTTGCAAAGGTGGTGCAGTGATATCAAATATAAAAGAAATTTTATTTATGAATTCAAAAATTAAAGGAATAACGGATGATATAACATCAATTCCACCAGAAGAACAAAGATATTACGCATTAAATGCATTTCCTAAAGTTTTGAAGATTGGAAGATTTAATTTAAATGAGGAATTCATAGAAGGTTTCCTAAACGACATAATGAAGAAAGCAGATAAGGAATATGTGGATGAAAAAGATAATGAAATATATGAAAAAATTAAAGAAAGGGTTGAATGGTATCATAAATGGACATCAAAGATTTTAAAAACTAAAGCCGATACAGGATGGGTTTCAGGATGTTTAGACCTTAAAGCGGATAAGGAATATGTTAACGATGAGTTAAATAAGAAAGCAGATAAGGAATATGTTGATAGTGAGTTAAATAAGAAGGCAGATAAGGAATATGTTGATAGTGGGTTAAATAAGAAGGCAGATAAGGAATATGTTGATAGTGAGTTAAATAAGAAGGCAGATAAGGAATATGTTGATAGTGGGTTAAATAAGAAGGCAGATAAAACTTATGTGAATGAAATATACCAAAGTTTGATAGGAACAACTGAAAATATTGAAACTATTGTTGGTGACTTTTCTGTCTATGAAGAAAATAAATATTTTAGATGGCAATTGGTACACTCCTTAAAAAATGGTATACGGTGTAAACTCATTCCGAAAAATAACAATGAAATGTATGTAAGCTATATAAAGAATGATGGTACACAAGTTAAAGTTCCATTAGACAACAACTGTTACTTAAACTTATATGGAGACGAACAAAAGAAATATTTAAGAGTTTATGAAATGACAGATATGACATTGTCTAACCTAGCTCCAGCACCATATTATTATGACTATGGAGATGATGTCAGAACACCACATGTAGATGAACAAAAGTTAACATTATATTTAGATTATTATAGATATAAAAGATATAATGCAATAGAAAAAACGAGAATAGTATATTATTATATAGATGACAAAAATAAATATTATAGTCAAGATTTTACCTACCCTGAAAACATAAGATTATATTATAAAAAATATTCCGACACAAACCAGAAGAAACCCGAAATAGTTTCACTATATTTTAAGTTCAAAAGAGACAATCCTATATTATCTCATATGTTTGATTTAATGAACCCAGTAGGTTCTATTTATACATCTATGGATGCAAGAGGTCCTCAAGTAATGTTTGGTGTTGGTGCATGGGAACAAATAGTCGACAGGTTTTTGTATTGTGCAAACTCTTCAAAGGAAATGGGTGGAAGTAAAACGATTACAGGTGAAAATTTACCTGCACACAGTCACTACATAGATTTAAGCACATCTCAAGCGGGTTGGCATAAGCATAGATATTGGGATTGGTCAGGAATGACAAAAGGTAAAGGATATGATGTTAAAGACGACGTTAAGTTTGCTATAAATTGTTACTGGAGTGACACTCAGGGAGAAGGAAACCATACACATCACGTTTCAGGATATACACAAACAACGGGACAAAGTAAAGAATACATGCCACCATTTATGACTGTATTCGCATGGTATAGAGTTCAATGAATGTGCTTGACCCAAAGGTCTGGGCTTACCGAATGAACTAAATATATTTTATGTTTGTAATTAATTAGGTAATGAAGTAATGGATGAACTGCAGAAAAGAAGTTAAAAGCTTGGGGTCGTTTTGTACAAAAATATTGTGAGTAAATGTTTTAGGTTATTCAATAATTAATTATTTTTGAAGAACTGAAGGGGTCACCAGGTCACCAGGTCACCAGGTCATTTAACTTCTCTGAAAAAATGTGACAACATGACATTTAGACAACATCACAGGAGGAAGGCAGTTATGACTTATTTTTGAAGAACTGAAGGGGTCACCAGGTCACCAGGTCACCAGGTCATTTAACTTCTCTGAAAAAATGTGACAACATGACATTTAGACAACATTTACGAAAATTTGATGTAGTCCAAAAATAAAAGTTAGTTTTAAAATTATTTTTATTTTTTTTCCTATATAAATGACAGCAACAAACAACACAACAGCAACTTTATCATTCTGATGAACAAGTTATTGATTCATTAGCTGAGGAATTAGTTGTGGCAGAAACTAAAACCCTCAACGAAAGAATTGGTGAAAACAAGATTGATTTACATAACTACCTCAAACATGAGGAGGAAGAGGAAGAAAACTGGTACAGCTTTATTAGTAAATAAATTTCAAATTTAACGATTATAGATGTTGATATCAATAAATCGTACAATGATGAACTTAAAGAAACAGTTAGAAAAGACATTTTATCAAAACTTTCGGATAAAGATGTTATCGTTAAAACCGCTTCAGGAGGTCTTCACATTTATTGCAACACTAATTTCTTCTATGCAGTTTTCAAACAGAATGATTAAATGTTATTCCTGCAATGATTATGATATTGACATAATGACTTCTATTGATGATTCAAAGCGTTCATTAGTAGTTATGGCTGATTCAAGAGTTCGCAAGAATGCATCAGAACCAATCAATACATACTCATTCATTCGTGGAAGTTTATGATTCAACATTAACCAGAACAGTAAACGATATATTAAATGATTTGAATATATAAGGTAAGAGTTGAACAGAAGAACGAAGAAATAAAGAATATCATGAATGAAAACAAAGATGTAAACATTGACGATAAACTTGCCCAGAGCATAGTTGATGGCATCTGTGATTTTGAAGTACATAATGATGGTGGAAACATGAATTTAGAAAAGAAATAACATTATTCACACTGTTTCAAGCAATTAATTCGTTTACCAGATCATTTAATTAATGAAGCATACGATAACGTTTATAACTTCTGCAGTTTAACAGAAAATGCAAAAGTAATTTTGAAAAAGCACGTAGTAGATATGCACATTTAATGACTTCTCCATTTGTTTTGGTGAAGATTCTAAAACTTTATCAAAAGGAATATTATGATGAATATGTTTTTACCTTTATTACGTAAGCCAAAAATAACATTTGATATCAAACTTGATGACTCGTTTTTTGATAACAGATATTAGACGCAAGGCTGAAAATCATCAGTATAAAAACAGTTCTGAAGTAATTGAGGATTTATCACGTGTAATTCGTTTTGTAGATTGTGGAAACAAATATTTCATTCAGAAAGATTACAACATACACGACAAAATGAATCAAATATCATTTTGTTCTTCAGTCAAACATGAAAGAGTCACTCAAAATGATTAAATTATTTAAAGAAGAAGGTAAAACCATAACAGCATGGGATGTACTACTAAATCAATTGTCTTCATTAACCGTTAAGGGTGTTTGCTTTAAATCTGATTCTCCAGATGTTTTCTCAAACGTTTCAGGGTTATAAATACAACATTCTTGAAAAGCCTGATTACTAACAAAAATTGAGATGTTTATGAATTTCATTAAAGAAGCCATTTGTGATAATAACGATGAAGTGTATAAATACCTTCTCTGGATTGCATCAATGATTCAACATCCTGGAATCAAGAATGAAACAGCAATTATTTTGAAAGGACTTCAGGGAACAGGTAAAAACAGATTTTACAGATATTTATTTCTGAACTTCTCGCTGGTTATTCATGTAAAAACATTACTGAAATAAGTGAGCTAACGGGTAATTTCAACTCAGTAGTTTGAAAATAAAATGTTTCTTGTACTTAATGAACTCAAGAATGTAGGTGAAGACAGACTCGCAAACTTCAACGCTTTGAAATCAATTATTACGGATAATGAGATTAGAATTAATGAAAAGAATCAACCCAGAAGAACAGCACAGAACGTTGCAAACTTCATTTTCGTAACTAACAACGTCTACCCTGTCAAAAATTGAAGTTGGAGACAGAAGATACGTAGTTTTAAGGGTTAATGGTAAATTCAAGGGTCAATTTGATTACTTCAAGAATTTAATGGATTCATGCACTAAGGAATTTTATGATAATTTACTGACGTATTTTATGCAATATGACCTTTCATCATTTAATGTTGTACGAATCATACCGATGACTGAAGCCAAACAAGATTTAATTGAATTATCAACAAATCCTTTAGATGAATGGATAAATACACATTATGATGAATTATGTGCAGGTATGACGTGTAAAAATGCTCTATTCTGCAAACCATCAGACATGAAAGACAAAAACTTTCAAATGAGCATTAAGGATAAATGTGAAGGAAACAAAGAAAAATAGATGGTAAACAAACATGGTATTATGTTTTGAAAGAAGAAATGAAAGGATTATATAAACAAATTGAACCAAACGATAATGAGGAATCATTTACTGACGATGAAATACCTGTGAATGAAGCTTTATAAAGTATGACTGGAATTTATTTTTGCCTTCCTCCTGTGATGTTGTCAAAATGTCATGTTGTCACATTTTTTCAGAGAAGTTAAATGACCTGGTGACCTGGTGACCTGGTGACCCCTTCAGTTCTTCAAAAATAATTAATTATTGAATAACCCATGATGTTGTCAAAATGTCATGTTGTCACATTTTTTCAGAGAAGTTAAATGACCTGGTGACCTGGTGACCCCTTCAGTTCTTCAAAAATAATTAATTATTGAATAACCCATGATGTTGTCAAAATGTCATGTTGTCACATTTTTTCAGAGAAGTTAAATGACCTGGTGACCTGGTGACCCCTTCAGTTCTTCAAAAATAATTAATTATTGAATAACCCATGATGTTGTCAAAATGTCATGTTGTCACATTTTTTCAGAGAAGTTAAATGACCTGGTGACCTGGTGACCTGGTGACCCTTCAGTTCTTCAAAAATAATTAATTATTGAATAACCCATGATGTTGTCAAAATGTCATGTTGTCACAAACTTTAGAACGGCATAATTTAAATTTTTATTTTTATCATAAATGGATACCCCACAAGCTCAAAATTTACCACGAATCATAACAAGGGAGGAAATGATAAAAATGATGCAAGAACATGTTAAAAATAACAAACCACTAAAATGAGAAAATGTGGTTATGCAGTAATGATGGAAAGAGAGATGTTGTCGAAGAGGAATAAAAATTAAATTTGGATTGAGTTTAAAAATTCATCTTTATTAAATTCATCTCTTCCAATCAATTTATTTATTCTATTAAATTCTTTTATTTTTGCTTCACTCAGTTTAAGGATTGAACGGTAAGTTTCTAATTTTTCGATTATTTCTTTCCTCTCTTTATCGTTTTCAGTTCCATTAGTTTTATTGTTTTCAACCCCACCGCATTGCGACTTCTTTTTGTAATAGCATATTTTTGATTTAATTCTGTTTAGTTTCTTTTTATATTCATTGTCTGGACTCTTGACTGCTTTGTTGTCACTCATTTCTTACGAAATAAAAAAATTAAATATTATTTAAATATAATGGAGTAATAAAATAAATCGGAATTTTTATTAATTTATTGTTAACCTCAACTAATGCATTGCCGTTAATATATCTAACAAATTCAGCTATTGTGTCAAATCTTCGTCTTCTTTTTGTCATTGATTTATCAGTTTTTCCATAATCGAGATGAATCAAAACTTTATCCCCTTGTTTAAAATTCATGAGCCCCGAATTAATTTGTTCACGTTTAACATCATTCAACCTTTCCATTTGCTTTCTAATATATTCCCATTCTTTTGAAATATCATTTTTCATTTCCACCGGTTTCATGTTTATTGTTCTATGCCATGTATTATTATAATAATATACTAACTGTTGTATGATGGAGTCATGATTTCCATCCCAGTATATCTGACCGTTAACCCCTAACGCATCTCTAAGAGTTCTCATTACTGCATCAACTATTTTATTATGAAACGTATATGGAGAGGATGAAAAGAAAAAATTAATTTGTGGGAAATAATGAATCATAGTTGCCTGAAATCCTTTATCACCATCACCCCTGATATTATCTACTCTTTCATGATCTAGTAAGTATTGAATAGCTCTTCTTGTTTCCTGTTCTGTTTTCCCTTTCACTGGAATGCAATATAAATATCTAGTGTTAATATTAATGGCAAATAAATAAGTAACGTTTCCTTTTGAATATTCCAGATGATCGATTTCGTATGAATATGGATATGGAGCAAATGAAGGTCGACTAAATTTTTCCTTTAACGGTTGAATTTTTGGGTCAATTGGTTTATTTAATATCTTGAAATCCTTTTTAAAATCTTTTTGCTTCTTTAATGTTTGAAATGGATATAATAAAGTGAATGATGAAGGATTAACTGAAGGAGGAGGAGGTACTGTCGTTAGAGGTTTTGGTGTTGCAAGTGGTTTAATTTTATCTGCTTTGATTTTGGATTTCATTCCTTCCTTCATTAATTCTGGATGTATTCTATTCATTTGTTTTAAATATGCTGTATATAAAGGTTTGATATACTTTCCCGCTTCGAGTTTATGTTGAAGGATGAATTCCAAAAGTTGATCTTCATTTAAAAGTCGGGCTGAATATGGTTTAACTAATGAATCATAAATTAAAGCTTGTGCTTCATTTATGGTCTGAAGGACCTGGGCGTTTTGCACCTTTTGTTTTTGCTCCTTTTGCTTTTGCGGCTCAGGATTATATAAATTATATAATTCATCAATATCTTCTTCTGTTAATACTTTATTTTTGAAATCTTTCAACTGTTTAAGCTGTGATTTAGTTTTTCCCTTTGAATATTCATTATTTTTAATTTTGTCTTTAATTTCAGAAATTATTTTATTATGATATTTCAAAATTTCATTTTTATAATATGGATAATAATATTCCATATCATCACCCGTTATATTATTATTATATTTTTGGAGATATGATTTTAATTCATAATAACTAAGAAATTTTTGATTAAGTACTAAATCAGCAATTAAATTTTTTAAATCTGTGTTATCCATTTATATAAAAATAAAATAAATGTTTTAAGGGTGCCCACCTCTTTGAATCATAGTATCAAAACCATCATTAACGGTTCCTTTTGTCTCTTCTGTGGTATTTTATTAAATAAATGGCATACAACATCCATTTTCACAACATACAGCCTTAGTGTGTGCTCCTGTTAATGCAGTCTTACCGATTGTTAAGCGAGTCATTGACCCATTTTTAAGTTGTAAATTAATATTCTGACCATCAAATATCACTTTATCATTTATTATATCCAAATAATTTTTAGGTGTTAATTGTTTATTTTGTCGTAAACTAACACCTTTCATTTTTTGTGCAATCTTTTTAAAATCACTTCCATCAATTGAACCGTTGAATGAAGTATAACACTTAGGGCATAAAGCAACCATGTTATCACCTTGTTTCTCAATTGCTAAACCCAATAATTTCTTCTCATGTGCTTTTTCTTCACCTTTATTCTTTAATTTAGGTTTAAATTTCTCATCAAAACAGAAGAAATCAAATGGTGCGAATTTGAAAATGTTTTTATCATAAAATTGTTTATCAGTAACAATTGCTTGAAATGCTTGAGTGTTAGGAAGATTTGGGTCGCCAGCGATTGCCCAATAAGATGAATCAGTATCACCTTCAATGAAATGAAAACGATTAACATTCAAGCATTTATACATAAAATCATAAATGAAAACCAAATACCAGTATTTAGCATTATCTAAAGTGAAGAATGCCTCTTGTAAACATGTATCACATCTATAAAATCTATCTTTAAGCATCACTTGATACGTATCTTCACCTATTTCTCTTATGTTTTTAAACTTATTTGACATACATGCAACGCGTGCCTTCTGTGCATTCATTATTTTAGTCTTTGCGTAATTTTGTGTATTCATTGCATCGTAACCATATGATCCATTAAGTGAAATCTTGCAAAATAAACTTTTTCCTTTATTTCCTCTAATTCAGCCTTTTGTCTTTCATTCATAAATTCGTTCGCAAATTCATTAAAACAAGTGTTTTTAGTAAATGTTAAAATTGATTGAATGTCATCGATGATAAAATGAAATTTGTCTATTAGATACCAAAGATAATAAGAAGAAAATGGTTGATATTGGTTGTGTGTTGATGCTAACTGAGTTAATTTTCTCTGTTTCTGGTCAACTGGTAGATTGTTTGATTTCATGTAATTATACATAAAACTGCCAATTGTTTTTTCATCTGTGATAATATCTAAGTTTCTTATTATCGGTAAAAAGTTTATGTAATCATTAATGTATTTTTCATCAATGTGACCCTTTACTTCAGCCACGAATAAAGTATTTTTCTTCTTAATTATTCCCAGTGCTTTTGCTTTCTTTGTTGCTGTATCACAAATGATAACACCATTCAATCTTCCCGGCATATACATTTTATGGTCAGTATATTGAATGAAATCATGAGGATTAGATGAAAATGATGAAGGATATAATGAATTAAAGTCAACTCCAACGAAATGAGTCATAATGTTGGTGGTGTCCTCATTTGATACAGTTTTAGTTTCTGGATTATATGAAAGTTTATTAATGTGCGTGATTCCTTTAAGATTAACACGATGTTGAACATTTGATAGACCACCAGTAATTCCATCCTCTTTAATGTCATCAATGATTTCCATTTCATTATTTTCAATTTCTTCTTCTCGTTTATGAGGTCTTTGATTATGACTCCATTGATTCCATGAAATTAAATATTCTTTATCATTATATTTATACCTCATTAGCTTATTTTGGCTTTCATATTCATTTAATAATTCACAATCTTCATTTTTAAATTGAAGTTTAACCCATTCAGGATTTAAATGATGTTTAATTAATCGCGGAATATCTGACATCATCTATATATAGCTTCTTTTATAAAAGATAAAAAAATAAATTATTTTAAAATTAATGTTAATTTTTTAATGATTTATAAATAAATATATTTTAATGCATCGTCTATATATAGATGTAACAAAAAAAGTCACACAACCCTTCATATCCTACTACTTACAATTATCCAAGGTGTCTTTCTTTTAAAATGTATTATGATTACATTTGGGGTATTGCTGTGTAGATGGAGCTAATAAGAATTCCGATTTTCTGAAAAAGTGATAAGAATTCCTCTTGGCCCGTGTCACTTTTTTCGAAAATCGGTAAATTTTGCTAATGGAATCAGTTTTGAATTCTAATTATCTCTTAAGCTGGACGACGAACAAGACTGAAGCAAAAAAGGTAATAATTGATTCAATAACCATGGATTCTTATAATATTTTCAACTCTGATTTCACAAAACTCAATTATTCAACGATTTACAAAGAACTCACTGAAATTTATTCTTTTTTTTGATCTCGATTGGGAACCACCTGAAGAAACCGTACAACTACTTCTTTCGTCCAAATTATTTGATCGGCTCTTTATTTTTATGTTTTACCAAAACCAAAGAATATCCGAAGTCTCAGGAGATGTTGGATGTGAAATTATTCGTAGTAATAATGATAATATCAAAGTTCCAATATTTGACTTTGTTATCAATAATCTTGAAGATTCTGAAGCATTAAAGAATCGTTCATTCCTATCTGTCGTTTGCTGCATTGGCCGACTATCAAAATATAATAGCGAGCGAGCGGATCCGATTTTCGAGAAACTTCTCGCACTTTTAAAGGAAAATCAAGAAGATTGTGTCATGAAAGCGCTAAGTAGCTTTATGGAATACAAACTAAATCCTTCCGATGTAATTTTGGAGATATTTAATATTGTATTTTCACTAGATGTATCAGTCTTAGAAAAATTACCATCATCATGTGAACTAATTGCAAATTGTTTAAGACAATATCCCAATATATTGTCAGATATCTTGGAAGACGAAAAATTTAATACACTTTTAAGTCAAGATAGTACTTCAGATACAATCATTATTGGATGAGTATATGCGGCTTTTATTAAATATGCATTATAATATTAATGGAGATCTGTCAAAGCAAGTACAAAGGAATTTAATATTATTAATAGAAAGCAGACAAAGTTCTATATTATGCTATCAACTATATTGCTTTTGTATGCATATTTGAAGAACAATAAAAAGTGTCAACAACTTTACAATTTGTAAAGTTTATCCAAATAAGAAAATAGAAATGGGGAAGATTTTTCTCCAAACGGGATCCTTACACCTAAACTTTTAAAAATTTGAGAGGTTGTCAGAAAAGTGAAAAAAATCATTTGAATCAATCTTTTGATGTTAAAACTCTCATTGATTTAATATGATAATAATACAAAGGATAGATATTTTATTAAATAAACAAAACAAAAAAATTATGAATTAGATATATGTTTCGACTGCGAGATGGCGAGATTAACAAGTCTCTCCTCAAGAGTCGGTTCAGGTAGATTAACAAGAGAGTAAAGACGGCTGTGTACTGTTGTTTCTTTATTGAGAAGTGAAACTCTGACTATGGCGTCAGCAATTGGCTGGCCAAGGTTATAAGAGAACATATCTGAGTTGAACACCATTTGCTTTTGTATCATGAATCTTACGACATTGAACAAATAATGCAATGGCAAAGAATAAATAATAATTAGTGGCAAAACAGAAGACAAGAAGTTTCCGAGACGTATTCTATCAGTGATCTCTTTTCTTGTGATGTAGTTAATTAGATATGGAACTATGGAAAGTTGGATCAAATAAGAAATTATTATCAAAATTCCTTCTTGATTATTTGATCTGTAATAGTGATTGACCAATATGGCATTCAACTGTGGATAATCAAGTGCGTAAACTAAATTATCAGAGATTAAAACTTTTCTTCTCATTATGCCGTAAAAACCTATTTTTAGATGGTTGGAAACACCGGATTCTATATGTAGTTTGATTCCAGGATATGCAATTTGATGTGCGTTCCAGATTGCCAGCAATGATTTCATTAATTTTGAATCGGGTAGTATCGAACTGTTATTTAAGTAGGAAGTTTCGATCCAATTGTAACAGAATAAAGAAATCATGACGGATAATGCAATTGTTACGTTGAAAATTGTAATTATTGATGGATTCTTTGTATCAGATTGAAAACTGGAGTGAGATCTGCTGGATAATGAAAGGTCGTAAGCAGTATCGTATGAGTCTGATTCTTCGAAATCAATCAAGACATCATTTGAAGAAAATTTTCCAAAGTATCTGGCAAGAATTCTGAAGAGAGAGATGAATGCGATGGTGAGAATGAAGATTATGAGTTGTGTAACTAACTCTTTGGCAATAAATAATGAAATTGGTAAATTATTGAAGTTAAAACGGCCATCAATTAGGAATATCCGTATTAAGTTGCTAGGAAAGATCGTAATTATCCACCTGGCAAGAATGAATATGAAGGAAAATTCGATGTCAGATTTAGCTACAGCCTTCAATGGTTTCAGTACGAAATAGACGCATATATAGAATAGTAGTTTGGAACATTTACTGAATAGATCGTTGAGACACTTCATAATTGAGTAGTCGAAAGGTACTGTGTCACTGCCTTGTTGATAAGATGCCAGCCTCTGAGATTTCACGAATTTGTACTCTGATATGTCGATAACACTTACCACTAGGGCAATGACTATTAGTGCAAAGATGGGCGGAGAATATGCTTTATCAAGGCTCATCTGGTATAAAAAAAATTTTATTTCTGAGAGATTTAACCTTATTTAAAATTTTGTACTTTTATGGCCAGTGGTCCTTCAAAAGAGTTTATCATTTTTCGTAGATAGTCCTTTTGATGTATTTAGAATAAAAATCAACCATGGCTCGATCCTTGAATTTTTTGAGAGTGATTGATTTTAATTTTAAACCGTCATATTACAATGTTGAATCGATATTAAAGGATATGCTTATTTATAAGACAGTATTTATGAAAAATCCATTTGCAGATTTTGAACCTTACTTTACATATTTTTCGAATACAAATTCCATCATAAACTGACATCATACTTTTTGCATTATTTTAAATAGCACAGAACAATACTAAATATTTTGAAAACGGCCAGATTTCACAGAAATATTTCTTCAAAAATGGGTAAGCTCATTAAGCATCAAAAATATTACAATTATTAGCTCTATTCAATGAGTCAAATACATAACTCAGTTATCCAATCAAAATGTCATAGAAAATAATAATGAATAAATGATATTAATTTGAATTGTTATGATTCTTATAAAGATATAAATCACATACTGCTAAATAGTCTCACAGGGATACTGCCAAACTTCATAAACAATAATGAATGATTTATCAAAGAATAATCGATATCCAAAAAGATTTTCCCGGCATGTATGATTAAACTTTGAGACTGAAATTCATAATCCTTTGAGCTATTGCCCTATGCAACTAATTAGATGAAAGATGAAGAAATCACTAAGAAATTTAATCCAGTTATCATCATCCCTTGCGTATCGATGCATTATTGAGGATAAGAATGTGTTTGATGCATTGAAAATCCAATTTACAATTTCAATACATCAAAAATTGCTATTAATCATATGAAAGTTGATGGAATAACTCTATAATGAATTTTTAAATATAAGCCAACATTTATTTTGGCGGATAATGATGGAAGTAACCATCAAAAAATCCGATGAAGATAACGAAATCTGATTCTTCTCAATTTTATGATCCTGTATCTTTCAAATTTGAGAGTCGGTTAAGCGATTTTGTGGGAAATCCGATCTACTATCTAATTCATCAAATAAATCATGATGGGTCATTGAAAACACAAAAAGTGACAAAATGTTTTTTGTTCTTCTGTTTCTTTCCCGTAGCTGGAGCGAAGAATATCTTACAATAGGCATGGAAGTAATGTTCCATATCCTTGGTGACACAGGACCACAACTTGTTCAAAAAGTTCTTGATTTAACAGATGAAAAGCTTGAAAGACCATCGTTGGCCGGATCCTGGCTTGTTGCTCTCAAGAGGCCACCGAGCAACACAGATTGCTTCGATCATTGGCGTTATTCACAAAGAAATTTCACTTCAATAGTAAATATGTCAGACTATCACGCCAATTCTGATGATCTTTCCAGTACACTCAATTCACTTAACAAATCGATCGTTGGACAAACTCTCGATGGTCCATGGCCATATAACTTTGGAATGAAAACGTTCTTCACTCTCTACTTAGAAGCATTTGCTCCAATTCATGTTACCGAATACTTTGATGATGGAAAATTCCTCCATGGCGATGACAATGGAAAGAAATTTTACATCAAATACAAAGGCGAAAACATGAGTCTTCATGATTTCTGGGATACAGGATGTGGAAGATACATGCTTGAATCGCCGTATTCAGCAGAGAATTGGAAATCCATTGATTCTCTTGTTACAAAGCTTTATAAGAGAATGGAAGACGCAACAATCACAGCACCACTTCCAGCAAACTACGCTGAGGCCATTGAACAGAGTTTCAACTATTCTATTTCTACTGTTTACAATATGGACTTAATTGTTCCAGATAAAGAACTTCCTGATGAATATGTTAACACTTGCATTGAAACTACAGATAAGAGAATGCTCCAGGCTGCAAGTTCATTGTCAAAATTCCTTAAATACTACAGTGTCCCGATTATTAAGAAGAATCCACCTGTCCAAATGATTTCACCTTCTGAAGCTGTTGCATGGGGTTTACTCTTCTTTGTTGCTCCATTAACAATTTACCTTGTATGGAAATTAATCCATAACAAGATCAAATCTGAATAAATTAATAAAAAATTAGTACTACTATACCAATTAAATTGTTTTCTTTATTTCTTTCATAGAATTTAAAAAAAAAATGTGTCCGCATCTCAAGGTGCTAAACACATTTGATGGGATAATTTATAATATAAAATTTTTTATATGATTGTGTTAATATGTCTTTCATTCATCGAATTAAAAAAAATGTGATTCCACACCATTCATTTGCAACTTAGCTTATCTGTTCATTCTGAGAGATACTTGAGCCTAATCTATGGCATTCCAAACGGGAACCGCGGTTGGTTACCATGGATTTCCGTCACCGGTCACATTTTAAAGATTTTTAAAGCCTTATAAAAATATGCTTTGTAAATCATTTTTTGTAAATCGGCAAAAATTTGGTAATTTTCTTCAACTAATAAATCTGCGAATAGCATTTATAATACAAGAACAATCTTTTAAAATGCGTTTGATTCATTTTTGTATAATTTCATATAGGCACATATATTCTTCCGGGACTTTCCGTGATTTTACCGTAAAATCATTAGTTTACACCAATTTTTCCGTATTTTGAATAGTTTACTGCACTTTTTCCGTAAAATTGAGTTACGGGAATCCGCAAAATTTCCGGACCTCATTTTTCATAGAATATAATAATAATATTTGATAAAAAGATATATTATTTATATTTTTGATTTTTGAATTACGGAAAAAGTGAATTGATAACTTGATTTTTTTATATGGTTAATTTTTCAAATGATATTATGTAGATCTAAAATATTAAAAGTAAAAAATTGAATTACGGAAAAAGTGAGGTCAAAAGTGAAATAAATTTGCAGAACAATTTTCATTGAAATAAGCTTTATTTTTCATTATTAATAACAATGCTGTAATAAACAGAAATTCATCAAAAGTGACAGCTCTCAATTTTTTGACATTTGTAAATTCTAAATTGAATGAGAAAAATGAAATAATATTAAGCATAATACAATATTCTAGATTTAATTATAATTAGGAAAAAGTTAGTTTTGAGAGTACTTTTCATAGGCATATAGAATGAAATCTTCTGAAAAATAATATCACATAAACTCATATTATTTTCTAATATATAACTATTTTATATAAAAATCAAAATCAATGATCTTAAAAGCGAAGGATAAACCTCAAAATTTACGAATATAATGAGTGGGAATATAATGCTTATCTATCATAAAACCATATGAAATATCAATTTTTGCTTTACGCCTAATTTTTGACGACAATTAGCAAAAAATGTTAAATGTTAACACTCAGTCCATTTGAATATGAAAAATAAAATTGACTTTGATTAAATGTTTTTATTTATCATGCAATTCTTCTTGCGACCAAAGATTTGAATAAAATTTCAAAAAATAAGATAGCTTAAAAAATAATATACGGTAGTGTTTACTAATAGATGAATAGTATATAAATTCTATTAAAATGGATTTGATCCAAAAAAATATATAAAATTTGATCATAAATAAAATCGTTTTAAATTACTTCTTCATTTAAATTATAACAATTATTTTTGGTTTTATAGTTTTTAAAGCTCATGTGGTTTTTTTAACCACAGAATACTTATGTGCTGTAGCAAGCTTGCAATCCAAAGCTCACGTTAGACAACAAGAGTCATGAAGTCTCATACTAAGGGATATCCAACATATATTTTAATAATCTAATGTTTGTGACAAATATTCAACATAAAATTAAGTTTTCGTTTCGTTACAAGGCATTCATACTTTGGAGATATCATATTTAATGTACAGAAAAGTTAATATTAAACAATACATGCTAAAGAATTAATAAATAAGATAATAAAATAAATTTATACGTAATTACTTTCATTTAATATGCTTTATGCTGTATAATATTGATTAAGAGGCATTAAAAGGTTCCATAATCTGCTTTTATAGGCAAGATTTTTGATAAAAATTTTAAATTTTGAAAAATGATGAGAAAAGGAAAAAAAAGGTAAATGAGAGCAAGAGGAGGGAAAAAAAGAAAAAGAAAAGGAAGGGAAGGGAAACATAAAAGAAAGAAGGATATATAAAAATTTAGATGCGCATTCTTAATGCCGAGGCGGCTTGCCGCCGAGGCGCGATTTTTTTAGGCCTCTACGGTAACCCGGCAATGTTTTTTTAAATCTTGTACAGCCCTAGCCTAATCATTTATAAGCTGTTATATCCTGCAATGTGAAGAGTGATTTTTGCTTCGTTCACCTTTTTTGTTAATTTTTGAACTACATGAAATAAGAAGCTCGAATGTTTCTTTACTATTTCTTTCTCTTGCAATACGAAGAGCAGTTTTTCCATCTTTATCTTTTTCATTGATGTTTACACCATGTGTATGAAGGAGTTCTGCTGCTTCTTTACTATTACAAATTGCTGCATGATGAAGACAAGTCTGTCCGGCTTCATCTTTTTCATTGATATTTGCACCATGTGAAAGAAGGAGTTCAGTTATTTCTATACAATTGCTTTCTGCTGCAATATGAAGAGCTGTTCTTCCATATTTATCTTTTTCATTGATGTTTGCACCATATGAAATAAGAATCTCTGTTATTTTATTACTATTATTTGCGGCAGCATGAAGAGCGGTTTGCTCATCTTCATCTTTTATAATTATATTTGCACCATGTGAAAGAAGAAATTCAGCTGTTTCTATACGATTGTTTTCTGTTGCAATATGAAGAGCTGTTCTTCCATCTTTATCTTTTTCATTGATGTTTACACCATGTGTATGAAGGAGTTCTGCTGCTTCTTTACTATTACAAATTGCTGCATGATGAAGACAAGTCTGTCCGGCTTCATCTTTTTCATTGATATTTGCACCATGTGAAAGAAGGAGTTCAGTTATTTCTATACAATTGCTTTCTGCTGCAATATGAAGAGCTGTTCTTCCAAATTCATCTTTGTCATTGATATTTGCATCATGTGAAAGAAGAAATTTAGCTATTTCTATAAGATTGTTTTCTGCTGCAATATGAAGAGCTGTCATATCGTGTATCACCTTTGTATTTACATTGGCTCCAAGTGAAAAGAAATATTCGCAAAGAGATGGTATACCAAACTTTGTTGAATAAAAAAAGCAATTGTTAACATCATTTGTCTGATCGAAATAAACTAAAAAAGAATCAAGGTTATTAAATTCTACGCAAGAATGTAAATTGATCTGAATAGTTAGTATACCTAAGTCGTGTACAGAGGCACTGCGCGCCTCCATACACCACTTAGCTGTTTTGACACTTTACAAAACTGGTAACGTATATTTTACAATACAACCATAACACCAACTTAACCTTAAATATTTACAAAACCGTCTGACACATAAACGACTTCACTAATGAATTCACTAATGAATTCACTAATGAATTCACTAACGACTTCACTAACGACTTCACTAACGACTTCACTAACGACTTCACTAATGAAAAAATAAACGTTTTCACAAACGACTTCACTACTGTAAAAAATAAACGTTCTCACTTACAAAAGTATTGCAACTCTTCCCATTGCTGTGCTTCACACAATAGTTCATATTCTTCAGTATCGCTGCTGTCGCTCCAATCGTCAGAGTCAAAATCACTGTCAAAATAAATGTTAGTAAGTTTTGACAAAGCTAATAAAACACGCTTACCGTTTGTATCGTATGCTTGTATAAACTTTCCATTCTTCATTCCTTCATAAACGCTCAAACTAACTTTACCCTTTCTCCCTCGTATCTGATAGAATGTATTTTCACGAGGAACGAAGAACAAATTCTTGAACTCATGACCGTTGTAGTTTGTTATCTCAATAGTTTTCGTCATTTATATAAAAATAAAATAAAAAATAAAATAAAAAATTAATGATATCACCACCCTCACACGTATGAAAACATAGCACAAAAATAAATTTAGGTGAAGTGGTGAGATCTCACCTCTTTTTTCACCTCTTTTTTCACCCTGTTGAATTCATTGCTTTATAACTCTCTTCCTTGGTTTCTTTTTAGTTGCTTTCTTCACGTCTGTCTCCAACTTGACTGTCTTTCTTCTTCGGCCGTAATGATACCAGTTACTTCCACCAGTCAATGGGTCAAATGGTCTTTCGTAAGGGTTTCCATACATTCCATAGGGACCATACGGAAGAACTACTGGTGGAGAAGAAACATTTTCTTTAGTTCCATCGACTCTATTTAAATGCATTGTTTCACCTTTCATCTGGTCATTAAAGTCTTTTGCGTGTTTTGCAAAATCATCGTCCTTTCCTAAAGCATTTTCTGACTCAGTCGCAACCAAATTGGATGCTTTATTTATGAGCCCTATTTTATTTAATCTTAACTTCTTTGCAACCCAGCCTCCAATCTTTCCTTTATTTGCATCTAATGTCTTTGAAACCCTTCCTCCACTCATTTTATTTACTGCATCATAAGCTCCAAGTGCTTTTGCTCCAAATGCTAATGCTTTTGTTCCCATTGCGCCTAAAGCTGCCCAAGCTACCATTTACACCATATTAAAATCATCTCTCTTCAATATTATCTCATAAAAGTTCTCGTTACTGGAGAAAGTCAATGAAACATAAGCGTTCTCACGGGCTTCGCCCTCACCGCTTTGCGGTCTATCTAACTTATTTCTTATATCATCTATACGCTTCAAAATGTCTGAACAATTGCTAACATCTTCTACAACAGTTATTTCATCATGAATGACCTTCAAGAACAAGCTCATTTAATATGCTATTAAAATCATCTCAATAATGAGTCCATCCTTTCCATCTTTAGGTAGCACAACATCTTTCATTGAAGAAGGTTCGACAAGTCTTATGTTAAACTTACTGACAAAGTTTGTTATACTATAATGCTTCGGCGGCGAATACATGTAGTTTGAAAGACATAATATAGATTCTTCAGCAAATTCACTTATACTGGATTTTATAACAATGTTCTCACGAGACCAAACGCCACCAATTGACAATCTTGTAAGCAATCCTGCTGAACCTTCAACTGTAAACGTCGATGGTAACATTCCACGAAGGTCATCTATTGACATCTTTGAGTCACTGAATTTAAATATTTTCTTAAAGCAATCGTCATTATCTAACCATGCAATAGCTTTGAAGTTTTCATTCGAATATACATCTGCTTCATTAAATGTAAAACCTGACTTCTTTGCAGAGACGATTTTAAAATATATTGCATTTGTTTCAAAATTATATGCTATGGTAACTTCTGAAGGTAATGGGTGTCCTTCTGCTATAAGTTGTTCTCTCACTACCGTTTGAAGCTTTGTGTTAAAAACTTTCATGTCATCTCCTGTATCTAAGTTCACATACACAGCAACAGGGAAACTATCTTGCTTCTTTGTTTCATCATTATACCTCAAAACATTAAAGTTCTTCAATAATATTGTTCTTCCTGCTGGAATACTTCTAACTTGTCTGATTTCAATAGCTTTCTCACCTCCTACATACTCTACCCAGTGTCTTGGATATTCATAAGTATACTGACTTTCTTGAATTTTGGTTGGTTTCATCATAACATGTTCATAGTATATCTTTATACTCTTGTCAGTTAGACTCGGTGCTATGTTCTGAATATTTCTGACTTGCATTTTTAATGGAGATAAAATGAAGCATTTAATACATGACGTAGATGAAGACATGAATGAAAGCAGTGAAAAGCTCAACAGTTCTCTCATTCTTCCTTTCAGTAAGGACTATGAGTTCTGTTCAAATGGCGTTTATTTCTATTGTGGAAAGATGGGTTCAGGTAAGACATTTAACCTCATTCGTCATATACTCATAACAGAGCGTTTAGGAAACGACTCTTACTATGACCAAATCATTATATCAGCAACTTCAGATTCAATGGATTCAACAGCGAAGACATTTATGTCAAAAGTTCAAGCCTCTGTCGTTAAAGTTCCAGACAGTGAACTCATTGAATTTCTTCAACGTTACATTCGACGTAAGAGGAAATATTATGCCATCGTAGAGTTCATACAGTCAGGAATGCAAAAGACTTCTGAGGAGATGGAAAGAATTATTGACAAACACCACTTACGACAATACTCAGGAGTTTACGATATGAAACGACTTACAAACTACATTCTGTCAAAACTTTCAAAATACCCCTTCAAAAAGTATCCTTCAAACACTTTATTAGTTTGTGACGACTTCGCCGGAAAAGGTTTAGTGTCAAAACCAGACTCACCATTAGCTAACATCATAACTAAAGTCAGACATTACCACTTAACTGTAGCAATACTTATGCAAACATGGAGGTTTTTAGCTTTAAACATAAAACGTCTCATAACTGACTTCGTTATCTTTCAAGGTTTCTCACGCTATGATATTGAACTCATTTGGAAACAGTCAGGTATAACATTACCTTTTGAAGAAATTTGGGAAGCATATAAGTCTCTCATCTCTCCTCGTTCATACCTTGAGATTCATATCATGACTAATACCATTAAAGTCAAAAATATTCCATGGGAACGACCAACATTGTTTTAAAGTTTAACCTTCAATTGACTGATGGTAAACAAATTCCATGCATCTCTGTCGCCATTTCTGTTAATATTTTTGCTGTCATTCATATCATCACTTCCCCATCCGTTAGCTTTTGAGGATATGCGTTAGAATAGCTGTTCTTAAATGAAGGCTTTTCACCTTTGAGAGCATAAACTCTATAACTTTCTGCATACTTTATGTTTGAACCTCCTGAGCCATCATTGACATAAATTTTTATAGGCTTCCACCCTTTGTTCATGTTCCTGCTTCTTCCCTTAGCTCTTTTGTTCAGTAGTTCTACATCTTTATACACAGCACCTGTCTCAGTGAATTCAACAATATTTTCATTCGTTAGCTTTACATTCAAACCCTTGTCGAGTATATTGTTCATTTCATACATATAAAAGGTTTTTATTCTATATGAAATGAGAAGCAAATCCATCTTAGCTGGTGCCGTTAATGTTCCAATTGAACCAATATCAAATGTTGACTCACGAACGACAAACAATATTGTCATAAAGAACTATAGTTCAGAGTGTTTGAAAGAAAAAGAACCAGAACTTAAGTCGGTGAATTTAAACTCAGCTTCAAACGCTAACGCTACATCAGATGTTAAGTTAGAGTATCCACCACTGGACCAAATTCTTTCAAGAAAGCCAACGACAACCCTTACACAAATGTTCAAACAAATCCTTCAGATAACGTAGACCATTACCTTCTTCAGTTATACCAAACAATTTTACTCAAAGACGATAAGAAGCTTTTGGTAAATCTTATAAGCAAGAACCAAATAATTCTAACAAAGGAGGACCTTGAAAATGTTATATCACGAATAACAGGAAAGCAATGTGTCATTGACTATCTCGACCCTGAAATCGAATGCTGTGGTCAAACGCCAATATTCATGAAAATAGGTAACATCCGCATCATTGAAACACCAGGAACTACAGGAGTTGAGTTTAAGTATAAATATTCGAACGAGTATACAAAACTTTCAACAGAATATAAGCTTTGTTTGAAATATGTTTTAGTAAATTAAAGCAATTTGTAATATCTATCCAAAACTTCTTCAACAGTATCGAATTCATCTTCATAATGCAAACCTAATCTTATTGACTTGGTGCAGTTTTCACTAACACAATATTTTTCTGTTCTCTTGACTGACATAACTAATTCATTTGTTTCATCAAACAGCAACAACCAAAGTTCATGACCTAATACATAACATTCATACTTTATATTTTTAGCTCTGAGTTCTCTTGTAAGCTGTTGCATTTAAGGATGGGCACTCATTAGGGTGATGAAAAAAATCAAGTCTAGCAAAGTCAATATATTAAAAACAGTGAAGACTATTATATAGCATTATAGTGCACAAGCTCAAATATTTAGTGATGCATTTCTCGAACTTATTTTATTTATAAGTTAACCTTGAAACATGAATTTTAGTATATCATGAGCATATTTTTTCTAATTTTGCAATACTTATAATATCATACCAGGATTCATGTGGAAGTCTAATATTTGGTATATAATATTCTTACAATAAATGTATTAATTCAATTATATTCAAAATGATGGGTCGCAATTTTTACTGAAATTGCAAATTTAATTTCAACAATGAAATTATTGTTTAAAAAAAATAGCACAACAGCAAGATGGACAATCATATATAGAATTATAATGCTCCATATAATGCTTTGATTTGATGCGTATATAATGTTATTTTTCGAACATCTTTGTAAAAAATTGATTTTTGTAATTTTTGAAAAAATTCGATTTTATTTCGAGATTTCCTCTATAGGTGAAGTATATTGAACAATATTCCTATGGGAGAAAATAATTGTAAGTATGAGTACTTTCATTAATACTATGGGTGCCATGGTTATCGCTCAAACGATCAAGTTATATCTCGATTGCGTAAATTGAAATTTTGCTATTTTCTAAATTCACGGCAACAGCATTCTTTTATCCTGATCGTACATCACAATATTTGAATGTGCGACCATTTGTTCAAGAAACCGTCAAGTTATTCTTCATTTTTCATGCCGCGGCGAACAAAAGCAGTTGCAAAGCGTATAAAGAACTTAGTTCAAAGCGCGAAAAATAGGGTAGAGCCATATGTCGTCAACACTGTTGAATTTGTGCTATCTGTATTATTGAGCGGCGCTACATTTTGCCAATCAGAATTTCAATTCATGCTGAATAACATCAAAGTTCCGTCAGAAGCTACATTTCATCGAGTCCAAGAAAAGGTTGGTCGTGTTATCATAGAAGTTGCCAGAGAATCTGTTAATTATTGGAAATCTCGAATGAGAAAATGTTCGGGACTTTTGTTTGACGGTTCTTGGAGTCAGAGAAGAAATGCAATGTTTTGCTATGTACAATTTGTAGAAGAGAAACTCAAAAAAATTGTAGATTGGGAAGTGATATCTAAATCTTTTAAAAATTTCAAAGGTAATTTCAACGGAAAATCAAATGAAATGGAATTTGAAGGCTTAAAAAGAATGCTGAAGCGTTGGAATAATGAAAAACGTGTAAATTTTTTTGTGCATGATGGCGATGTCAAAATTGTTTCTACAATCAAAAATACGTTCAAAGGTATCAGAGAATACAGAGATCCTGGACATTTTCTTAACAATATACAGAAAAAGCTCAAACTGCCAGAATTCAGAATCTTATCTAGCATTTCAAAGAATTTATTGCGTTGGCTTAGGCAACTTCTCAATGACACACATATGTCAATTAAAACAAAGAAGTTTTTATGGTTGAATTCCGCTAAACATTATGCCGGAAATCATAAATTTTGTCCAGATCCTGAAAAATGCAAGATGATTAAACCATGGAAATATGCAAAAAATAAAACTGCTATAAAAACACTTAAAAAATTCCTCGAAGATACCGTAAAAATCTTTGATATGGTAAAAAAGATTCATTCAACTCAAGTAGTTGAATCGATAAACCATATCAAAGCAATGCTTGCTAATAAAAATATTAATTGGCATGCTTCTTGGCCAATTAGGATGGCAGTCACAATATTGCATTTCAATGAAAGTATGTTTGAAACGATTGTAGCAATAAGATACAGGTTAAATTTACCAACAATGCCAGAAATGATGAACAGATATTTCAGAATGTATGATACAACAAAAGATTTAATCAAAGCATTCAAAAATTCAAAGCAAGTTCAAAAAAAGTTTGCGGCATTAAGAGCTATAAAGAGAGGTCTTCAAGCTACCGATGATCGTATTACTCTTAAATCACATAAATAATTATTAAATTTATTTCACCCTCAAAACATCATAATCTTGCACCTTCTTTGAATAAACACTTTCACCTTCTATTTTTAATTAATGTTTTTTAATTGTCCAAAATTTTTAGATTATATAAGATATAATTTTTTATAAAAGTATTATTTTCTAAAAGATAAGTATATATTCTTAATCACAAAACCTAGCATTTTATCATATCTATATATCAGCTTCCTAAATATAATACTCATATAGTTAGTATGATTTTAATGTTTTTGAACATGAAACGAAAATATGATTACAATCATATAACATAATGGAGTTATTGATATAACTTATATACATGATACATTAAGAAGTCTTCTAACAATATAGATATAGTTGTAGATTCCTATGATTCCTTTTATATTGTGAGATAATAACATTTTTATGCTGTCAGGAGCCTATGAGTGCCCATCCTTAATATTTTCTAAAAAGTCAACTTCAACAGTCATTCGCACTGGTGCCTTCAGTTCTACAGGCTCTCCTTGAAAGTCAACAAGTCTGAATTGCATGTCTTTCAAATTATGAGGACTAATGCGAACCCATTTACCTAAATGAGTTGCTATGACAGGAACGTTTGGAATGAACATTGAATTGACTGCATAACAGAAGGATTTATATTCTACTGAACCTTTACTATTAACTCCTGAAATACCTGTGACATTAGCTATTTTAGACTCAATGTACAAACAATTACCATAACATACGTATGGAACAGATTTCATCTCAATCGTTTTGTCAACACTTTTCAAAGGAAATGTCATATGGTATGCACCCAAAAGAAGTTGTACTCTATGACTCATTCTTGGTATCTTAAACTCCTTCGCATAACTGAACTTCAAAACTCCTGCAATAAGTTTAACATTCATTAAGTTTTCGCCGTTATCCTTGTTTATTGTAGTACTTATGAGAGCATTTAACACTCCAGCTAATGTTTCCATCTTATATTCTACATTATTGTGAAATCTTATTTCGTGCTTCTTTCCATCTATTTCAAGCTCCATGAAATCTGTTTCATCTGTTATAACGAATGAAGCGATAGTATTGAAGTCAACCATTCTGAATGCAAGCGCCTCATTCTGTAGACCTAAGTTTGTTTGTAGCTTTACTGTCCCGTATTCGTTTGGGTCTGTACTTTGCAAATAGAACAACATTTTATTCTCATTAAAATATGAGTATAGCTGCATATGCGTATGAAGCTGACAGAGCTAAACGTTTATATTTTGGTCAATACTCTCTCACACTTACTGACAAATATATTGTTATCAGTGATGGAAATACCGAGAAATACATAACATGGAAGGACTATGAAAAGTTTGACCCTATTTTAACTCCATGCACTATGCCATTCATTGTAAATGGTGAAGTTGTCATGAAGAACGACACAACAGTATATAAGTCTGTATATGAAGCGTTAGAATATATGTTGAATTATAATCCCGAAAGATTTGACCCAAGCACTACGCCATGTGCAATGCCTTTTATTAAGGACGGTGAAATCGTAAGAGTTCCGGATTCAACGGTTTACACAGCTGTTCAAAACAGTTTACAAAACATTTTAGCGAATATCTTTAATTCAGAAACTACAGAAATAAAATTACCATATATAACAGATGCTAAAGAAATTAAATCAAAAACGACAACATTATTTACGTCACTTAATGATTTAATGACTTATATCATTAATATTCCTGCACCAACTATAGCATTTGATCCAAACTCGACGGTTTGCAGTGTACCTTTCATAAATGACAGTTCATTAATTACTTTAAGGGATTCAACAGTTAATGAATCATTAAAGGCTTCATTAATGAAAATCATTGATTTTAACTCATTCATGAATACATATAATTCATTCATTAATGTTTCATATGCTTTTAAAGAAGGTGAGCCAAAAACTATCGATAAAGCGGTGTATGAAATAAAAGCATCAACGACGAAATTGAATTCGTTAACTTTTGACGGTGATAGTTTCGTTAATGACATAACATCGGGGAAAACAATTTTAACGAAAGAATACTTAAAATCTCATGTTAGTGAGTTCGTTGAAATTGAAAAAGAAGGTGGAATTAAGTTCGATCCACTGAATTTCATTTTCAGCTTAGCGAATGCGGGTGTTAGTTTCGCTGAATGGACAACTATACAGAGTGAAATAAATGCAATATGGACGTTTTTGGGGTCAAAAGCGGAATGGGTGAGCTTGTAAATGCTGCAAGAACATTAGGTGAAACAGGAAATTTTGTAGATGGTTTTAAAAGACTTGTTTCAAATGTTTTAACAAACACAAAGAAATTATTTAGATATACCGTACATAACGGACGGATTTTCGAACAGATAGCAACAAACCCTCCGGTTATGGCTGCGTTGATGATGGTTAGAGATATAAAACCACGTAACGACGGGAACGAAGAACATGAACAACAGGATACTGGTCGGGTTATTCGAGACATTAAAAACGTGTATCCTGAAGTTATTGATTTATTTAGAGGAGTTAATGATTCAATTTCAAAACATTCTATAACCCTCGATGAAGAGAATAAATTAACAGATTATATATTCGTCATTATTGCAGAATTAATGAAGAGAATAAATGAAAAAGGAATTGGTGATATCATTAATGTCAGCGATGTAATAATGAAAAGAAATTTTGACTCATTATTTACAAAACCGAAAACAGAATATAGTCTTTATGACGTAATTACCGAATTAATGAAAAAGATTAATGATAATAAGAGTTCTGGCGGAAGAGTTGAATTAGAAGTGAATGATGTTAATGAGAAATTAGCCGAAAAAGCAAACAAAAATGAGCTTTTAGCTCTGAGTGATAAAGTCAAGAACCATGTTCATTATATAAGTTCAGATGAACAGATTATAACGGACTACCATGGATATTTAACACGAAGTGATGAAGTGAAGACGGAAGATGTTAATGAAAGAAGATATAAATACATTCGTGCTAAAGGTTATGACATAAGCTGTACTGTACAGTATGACACGGGTAAAGCACCAGAAGCATTTAGTTATAACAATGAAATTTATGCCTCTACTTTCTCTGTTAAAGGTGTATTAGTTGAACCAAGATTTACTTTGAGAGTTAAGTCAAAAATAACGTTTGAAGATGCTATTAAAAGTAAAGCTGACAAAGTTGAACTCGAAGCAATGAACAAAGTTTTGAAATCTCATAAACACAACATCTCCGATATAAATGAACTTCAAGCTACATTAAATAGTAAAGCTGACAAGAACCATACACATAAATCCTTCACTACTGTTAGAGCAGACGACATAATATTGAACTATACCCTTGGTTCAAGTGCACCTTTAGAAAATCCAAGTACAAGCGTAAAAGATACACTAAACTCCTTAAATAGTAAATGTATGAACATTGAAGGTCATGCCAGAAACTTTGAAACACATGAACTACCAGCAATGTTAGATAAAAAAGCAGATAAAGAACATACACATAAATCCTTCACTACTGTTAGAGCAGACGACATAATATTGAACTATGATTTGGGTTCAAGTGCACCTTTAGAGAATCCGAGTACAAGCGTAAAAGATACTCTTAACAATTTAGATAACAGTTGCAGGAATATCGAAGATCATGTCAGAAACTTTGAAACACATGAACTACCAGCAATGTTAGATAAGAAAGCAGACAAAACAGAGCTTCAAACATTAAAGACTGAAATACTTCAAACATTATATCCTATAGGTTCTATTTATACGTCAATGAACTCAACAAATCCAGCAACAGTTCTGGGTTTCGGTACGTGGAAGCAGATTGTAGATAAATTCTTATACTGTGCTAACTCTTCAAAGCAAACAGGGGGTTCGAAGAAAATTACTGAAGCAAACCTTCCACCGCACACTCATACAGGAACTACAAACACAACAGGTAATCATTCACATTCAATAACAAAAAGAGGTTATAGAAATCTTGCAGCGGGTTCGGATAGACAGGGAATGGATAGATCTGATATCACAACTGACCCGGTAGATTCAAACGCAGGTATTTTCTGTGGAATCACAGGAAATCATTCACACACTTTGACAACAAATCCAACAGGCTCGGGTGAAGATTACATGCCACCATTTGTGACTGTATTCGCATGGTATAGAGTTCATTGAATGAACTAAATATATTTTATGTCTGTAATTAATTAGGTAATGAAGTAATGGATGAACTACAGAAATAAATGTTTACGTTAATGTTTACGTTAATGTTTACGTTAATGTTTATGTTAATGTTTTCAGGTCATTCAATAATTAATTATTTTTGAAGAACTGAAGGTGTCACTATGCCACCATGTGTCACTCGGTTATTTAACTTCTCTGAAAAAATGAGACAACATGACATTTAGACAACAACACAGGAGGAAGGTAGTTATGAATTATTTTTGAAGAACTGAAGGTGTCACTATGTCACTCGGTTATTTAACTCATGACATTTAGACAACAACACAGGTCATTCAATAATTAATTATTTTTGAAGAACTGAAGGTGTCACTATGTCACCATGTGTCACTCGGTTATTTAACTTCTCTGAAAAAATGAGACAACATGACATTTAGACAACAACACAGGAGGAAGGTAGTTATGAATTATTTTTGAAGAACTGAAGGTGTAAAGTTAGTTTTATTTTTATTTATTTTTTTATTTTGTATGTAAAGACAGTAATGTCAGTCGAAGCAAAAACATTTACGAACAAATCTAATGGCGAAACATTCACAAAAGGCACTTATAATGGTATTGAAGTCTTACGTAGAGACAAGGATGGTTACATTAATGCAACAAAGATGTGTCAGCAGTTTAGGAAAGACTTTAGAAAGTTGTTGGAAAATAAGTCCTGGGAAGAGTATTATAAGGCATTTTGTGAAGAATATAGCAACCGCCGGAATTCAGACGGTTGGTTTTTATACAAAATTCATGCAGGAATTCCTGATGAAATCAAACAGGTTAGAGGAACGTATGTAGACCCAAGACTTATAAACTATATAGCAATGTGGGTTTCTCCAAAATATTGCATAGCAGTTGGAAAAATTATGGACTCCATAGACAAGAAAGTTCATGAGAAATTAGATGAAGAAGAACTTGAAGATACAGTAGAGAATGCTAAACCTTTGTTTGAAGAAGAAGTTGGAAAAATGTGCGAAAAACAATTAGAACATGAACGTGAGTTATGTTATGGTTATAGAGATTCTCCATACGAACTAGACCAATGGGAACAAGAAAATTTAAAGAGAGAATTTAGAGAATATGAACTCGCTAAGATAGCATTAGAAGCTGCAGAAAAGAAGTTAAAAGCTTGGGGTTGTTTTGTACAAAAATATTGTGAGTAAATGAACCATTTATTTTTGTCATAAACGACCAAAAATATATTTTATCGTTAATGGTTTCAGGTTATTCAATAATTAATTATTTTTGAAGAACTGAAGGTGTCACTCGGTTAATTAACTTCTCTGAAAAATGATGACAACATGACATCACATTTTGACGAAGTGCAAATCTTCACTTCGTGTCAAAATGCAAAAATAATGCTGAAAATGAAATTTATTTTTGAAGAACTGAAGGTGCTACCATGTTACCATGTGCTACCAGGCCAATTAACTTCTCTGAAAAATGATGACAACATGACATTTTGACAACAGGTACGAAAACATTAATATATAAAATTCATGAAAATTCATGCAGGAAATTCTTGAGTTTTGGATGAAAGAATACGGTCGAGCCAAAAGTGGCTCAACCTCAAAACAAGCATTTTATGAGCTTACTAAGGGTGGTATAAATGAATTCAAAGTATTTACATACATGCTGACCTCGTTCATTTTGTTGCTGAATTCAGCAAAAATAATGTTTAGGTGAAGAGGTGAGATCTCACCCGTTTTTTCACCTGTTTTTTCACCCTCTTGAATTTTCATGAATTTCCTTAAGATAGAAAAATAAAGTTAGTTTTATTTTTATTTATTTTTTTATTTTGTATGTAAAGACAGTAATGTCAACATCAGAGAACACAACAATTGCTATCGTTCATGAAGCCATTAATGAAGAATACGAGTACATACAGTATAACAAACAGTTACGTCTCATTCGTTCGGTCAAAGACGATATGTACCAAATGCAAAGTATTTTGAATGCTCTTCGTTCTACAAAGCAAGCATATCATTGGTTTGAAAACCAACAGACAAAAGAACTTTTAGAAGAATTTCCTCATATGATTGCTTCCCTCGGAAAACCGAGGGAAGAGATTCCATTCGAAAATCGCAAGAATTTGGCTCCTTGTTTGAAAGGTTATTATGTTCATAGACTTTTAGTAAATGCTGTAGCAATGTGGGCTTCACCTCGTTATGCTTGTTATATTTTCATGATGTTAGATGAACTATATAAAGCAGAACGTGGAGAGATGGAAAAGAAACTTCAAGCAAAAGATGAAGTCATTGAATCCGAAGACAAAAGCATACAGAAAAGAATACCACGTTCAGTACCAAAAGGAAAGGAAAAGAACTATAAGTATATGATTTACGCTGAAGAGTTGGAGAAAGAAGAAGATAGAGATATGGTTATGTTGCATTTAGTGAGAAGAAACAACAAGAGCTTTTATGACTTAGCTAAGATATATAAATCTGACAGAAACTGGTTCTATCGTGAAAACTTACCGATTTCAATGACACCGAATGAGCAAATAAAGGAAATTGTCAAAAATACTCTTCCTCAAACACACTATGACATCAAAGGTTGCACAATACTTACATTCAAAGAAGACTTAACATTACTGAAAGAAAAGATAACAGAATATTTCGACAACTTCAAAGAGGAAGAATGAAAACTTACCGATTTCAATGAAAAACATTAACTTTTTGACGAAGTGAAGATTTGCACTTTGTCAAAATTTAATGAAAACTTATCGATTTCAATGAAAAACATTAACTTTTTGACGAAGTGAAGATTTGCACTTTGTCAAAATTTAATGAAAAACATTAACGTAAACATTAACTTTTTGACGAAGTGAAGATTTGCACTTTGTCAAAATTTAATGAAAAACATTAACTTTTTGACGAAGTGAAGATTTGCACTTTGTCAAAATTTAATGAAAAACATTAACTTTTTGACGAAGTGAAGATTTGCACTTTGTCAAAATTTAATGAAAAACATTAACTTTTTGACGAAGTGAAGATTTGCACTTTGTCAAAATTTAATGAAAAACATTAACGTAAACATTAACGATAAAATTTATTTCCTGGACTGTTGTCAAAATGTCATGTTGTCATCATTTTTAAAAGAAGTTAATTAACCTGGTGACACATGGTGACGTGGTGACACTTTCAGTTATTCAAAAATATATTTTTGCTTAAATAACTTCAGGGTCTATTTCTTCAACCATTTCACTTCCTTCGTCAATGTCAATAGAAGCTTCTTCAACCTTTGGTAAGAATTTCTGTATAACATCTTTGTTCGTTATTGTCTTCAGAGATGAAGGATAATATTTCACAGATGTTTCACCCTTCTTATATTCTTTCTGTTCGGAAAGATTTAAAGCAATACTGAAGAAGTCAATGTTAGAGTTCTTTATGACAGTATAATGAGTATCTTTGACATTCACGAAGAAACTCTTTTGTTTCAAAACTACTGCTAACTCTTGTGAAGTATAACGTTTGCGGTCAATGACGATAGCTAATGGTCTGACATACTGACCAAACTTAGATTCTTTCACAAACTTTTTGTTAAAGATAACATTAACATTTGAAGCATTATTGAACTCATTCTTGATGGCAGTAGCGAGAGCATTGTATGAAAAGAACTTGCAATCTTGCATGTGTTTCATTATAATAAAAAGTTCGAAATATTTTAAAACTAGCCTTAAAAAATCTAAGCTAATTTTTTTCTAAGAAATTTTTTTATTTCCTACTAAAGATGTATCGGAAGTTGTCTAAGTTAGAACACTCGGAAATAAAACAACTTCTTACAGAAGCTAACATAGATGTTGCAAAACATTACGCGACAAACAAAAAAGCACTCGCTGACATCCTCAATGACTACAATGGTGAAATAACTTATGATAGAATTCATGAGTTCATAAAGCCGCAACGCGGCGAGGACGAAGTCCATGCAAGAACATTTCCTTTAAATGACGTTGCTATTGACTTATATCATAGACGTTCAGTACCACATGAAGTAAGGCGTGAAATGTATGACATAACAAATGCAAACGTTGGTCATACTCGTAAAGCTCTTTCTCATGAAGTAAGGCGTGAGATGTTTGACATAACAAATGCAAACGTTGGTGAAACACGAAAGAGAGATGACACACTGAAACAACAGAGAAGAGAGATGTTTAAAAATGCTATAGAACAAGTTCGCAAAGCTAACGATGTCATTCGTTCCATTGACGACAAACCAAAAGAAGGTGAGAGATGGTTAAAGAAAGATGAAGAGAATAGGAAGAGAAATGTGAAGTCAGGCAATAGACTCATTGACTTTAACATCGAAGCTTTAGATGAACCAAACAGAGACTACTTACACAAACATTTCGGTAAGGTTTTCATGAGACTCTTAGAGAAGATTAAAATAAACTCCCAACAAAGATGGATGGTATGTTATAAACTTGGTGGAAAGTATGAATGTTCTACGTTAAACCTCAATAATATTGGAACATTACTACATCAGCTCTTGAAGGAGAACTTTATATCAGAGATAGAAGCAAATGCTGCAGGTATTGTTGAAATGCACTATGACTTCTTCTTGACAAACATAAAGAATCTTACTGAAATAAAGATGTATGATTTAACTGAATATGAAGGCTTAACGATGTCAGATGTAAAGAACGGCAAACCAAAAAAGAGACCATATAGAGATGAAAGCACACTGACAAATGACCAGAAAGCCATTTTGGAAGCTCTTAAGCAAACAGGAAACCCAGCACTTATAGAAAGCTTTTGGAAAGATAATGGTGAAAAGAAGTTTTATAAGAAGAGAAGCGGTCAGTTCTGGAAGTATCTTTGCACATTACCTATAAATCTTGAACGCTACCAAATCTTCAATGAACTGAACAAAAGAACTGCAGCACTTATGACAGAA